GATAAAAAGTTTTAAGTTTTTAGTAAATTGTTTCATTAGCAGATTGAACAGCGCATACATGTGATTGATTGACAGCATTCATACCTTCCTCTTGGCTCTGCAATAGTAGCAGGAGCAGCTTGAGTTTGTTTGTTTTTTTCAGAGTAACTGTCTCATATTATACTGCCACAACATAGTAACAATTTTATGTAAAACAACAACAACAACAAAGAAACTTTTTTATAAAATGTACATACTGCAGCTTTAAGGTGTTGTTTCTTCTTGGAATGTGGTAGATATGGAGATTCCACCACCCTGACATCTGTACCTTAGGTTCTCCTTTAGAAACCTTTAAACCCCGTCAGCCAGCTTATGTTGTTGATGTTGTCCGCTGTACATAGTACTTACTGCAGTCTAATGGACACACACACAGAGGGGCATGTGTGGGTGTTGTTGGACTGTGGTGGTCTTTGGTCTGGAGAGCAGTGGGGCTTCTATATTTATCCCACTCAGTCTCCATATAATAACAGCTGTCTTCACATCCCTTGTCTGACCATTGACTTAAATAGCTGACCTATCAGAAGCCTTCGCCTTGGCTCTTTCTCTGGTCTGCCTCTTGCCTATCACTTGGTTCTTTTCCATTTATGTTAGTTTCTGCTCTGTGTGACCCCTCTATTGAGAACTGTCTGACACAATTGCTTCACCTACAGGTAGAACATTCAACTTTGTCTTTATTAGTCTAACAATACTGGAGCTATGAGTTTTTAAAATTGTATTTTCCAAGGAGCCAGCTGAGGGAATTTTACTTGAAATGACTAATTCCTGATTGCTTCCTTGGTGGTGTCACTGGGTATTTGTGAGCCAGAGGTTGGAAAGGGCTATTATCTTCTGGAAATTCACCCATGGCCACTTTCACATGTTGAAACTTTTCTGGTTTCTCCAATGATCCAGCACACTAAACGCTTTCGTAAAGTAACCGAGTTCTTTTTGTTCAATGCATTGAGTAAGTGAGCTGGTTAATGTGAAGGTTGGTGTTTCTTACTTCTGTTTATTATTTGTGCCAAAACCATTTTTCAGAATGGTGGTTGGTATTTTGTTTTTTCTTTTTTCTGTTGGTATTTTTTCCAAGAAAATATCAAAGTAATGTGGTTGTTATTGGGCCAAAACCAGACATTACTAACATTACTCGTAGCTTGACAGAGCCAGTGAAAGCTTAAGGCTTTATGAAATGATCTTTTTGTTGTACGTTTTGTATGTTTTGTTAAGAAAATAGCAGACCAATGAAGTTGGAAAAATAGTTGATTAATAAAGGAAAATGGAGTACGAGTCCTAAATGTTGCTGAAGTAGTGCTTTTATTTGTCGTTTAATTTATGTCTCTCTGCTATCTGTTGTACTTTCATACAGCAGTGTTTCATTTAAATGAGTTTGCATTTCATTCATGCTCAGAGTCCACTGTGTCCGTGCTGTCCCAGAGTCCTGCATTAGATCATTTCAAATGGAAACTATTTAGAGCCTTTATCAGAGCTAGGTGTTTAGATAGAAGACCAACCAGTGGGGAAAACTAATCAGTCCTCATTCCATTAATCACACTTCAGGTGATAATTTGGTTCCAACCAGGCAGTTAAAAGGTAAGGTAATCACAGGCTTTGTTGAGTAATGTCCTATTCAACATAAGACGAACACACCATGTGATTCTGTAGCTAGTAGAACCACTCCTGGAGAAAACAACTTGACACAAAAATATTGACAGTCAATTTTCTCTCTTTGCAAACTCTTCAAGTTTGCTTCAGCCAAATATAAACCTAAATTCATATGATATTTTGAGAAAACACCTCGCCTCTCACTGATTGACCACTGGAGATGGGCAGCAGCGCTCCTTCAGACCCGACAAGGATAAAGGCGTGTTAGAAAATGAATGGATGGATTTTCAGAAAATAAGCCTCATAAAGGAGCAAGCAGAAAACTCTTAATCAAAACCTTGTTGATGAAAGAAACCCTTAATGGGATGAACTTTCAGCTTTTAATTAAAAAATAATTTCTCCAGATGTTTTACTGTGAAAGGATGAGATTGTTTATTACTTAATAAGTTTGGATCATAACTTACACCTGATGTTCTCTTGCTGTAAACTGACTTTCAATTTCAGACTAAAAATATCTAAATAAAAGCACTTCTTGTTCAATTTATTCAGAAGTTCAACACTGTCTTTTATTCACTTCTTGAACTTTGTCATTTAAGTTGTAACTTATGCTTTAAACATGAAATTTTTTACAATTTAGAATTCAGAGCAAAGATGTTATATATGGATTTAGAAAATGGTTTCCCAATGTAATTTATCATTTCAGCTCAGAGTGAGAGAAAACTCCTTTAACAGTTCAGTATAATATGTGGCAGCCTTTAGCTAACTTACTTTGCTTCATCACGTCCTACTTGAAGCCTCAGGCGAATATTGGGTTGAGGTGCAGGGCTTCAGAACATTGCAAGATCAATTCATCCATAATCAACACCAACCAGAGAGAGGTGATTGGTGTGGCATCAACCATAGTTGGTCCAAGTTATTATGTCAGGACTCACATTTGGCCCTAAGTATTTTATACGAATGTCTAAATTATTCTCCAAACCACTAAAGTTCTTGGATCCAAAACAATACTATATACCATATAATCAACTTCCTCCCTGCTGCACAGCTGAGCATCCTTATCAGAAAGGGGAGGCTGTATACTTATGACCCTCCAAAACAAGACATACTTGTTAAGCACATTCCTGATTATATTGTCACAGACTACAGAACTTCACCTGCTAACTGAGTTTAAAATATTTTGAAATGTGGACTGGAGAGGACAGATCTAAACGATCTCTGTGCTGCTGAGTTTTTTTGGGGCCGATTCTTGAAGCTGATATAACTTCCCTCGGCCCCCTGGCCCCTTCTGTTTACATTGTAATAATTACCCAATGATAATAAATGTTACACAAGTATCACTTTCAAACTGGAGGGAAGGAATTGGAAAAGGGAAATATCAGAGGAGAAAATAAATCAATGTATGACTCTTTAAAAAAAGTGTTAGTAAATAAACAGACTATAGAGCAAATTCAATGAAAAGTGGTGATAAATAAATAAATATTAAATATTGAAAAGGAAAATGAAAGAATAGTGATTCATTCATGTCATTGTTGAAAATTATAAACAAATATTACTTTGTTATTGTGTAATCAAAGATATTTGGAAAGTTGTACTATTCAGTATTTGCAACATTACCAGTAATTGGGGCCTGCCTATAGCAATGCATAAGGAGAGCAAAGACTGAGTTGTGAAGAACCTCTCTAGTCTCTCAGATTCCATCTTTGCCTTTTTGGCCTGGTTGAAAAACCCTTCTTTGAGATCTTTCTGCTTTTTTAACCAGAATTTCACCTCTTCCAGCTCTGCCTCCAGGTGGGCCAGTCTTTGGTTGTCTTCAAACCTCCTGGCGGTTTTCATTTCCAGGAGGAAGCTCAGTCTTTAGATTCCTCATGTAAGGCCTTACATGAGGCTTTCTCATGTAAGGAATCTACATGAGGAAAGCCTGCCTCGGGGTTTTGCTGATCTCCTCTTCTTGCATCGGGTCCCGTCATCCCACTTTGGTATCTTTGCGCATGTTGAGACATTTTTCTTTAAATACAATCACTAAAATCGTTGGTTGGTAAACTACCTGAATGGTTGATTTGAAAGAGGTTTGCGGGCGTCTGAACTGGTCCATGATCTTGCAAGCAATGAAAAACATTCAGAATTGTGTTACATACAATTCTGCAGTTGATGACATCACAGTCTGAATCGCCAGTGACTTCACAGAATCTTCCTTTGCTGGTGGTTTGACATCATTCCACCACCAAATATCCATTCTTGTTTACATTCAAAATAGTTCATGATTCTCTTGTTTCATCCCGTAAATCAGGGACATCAAACTCATTTCCATCTGGATCCAGATCAAAAATCGGAATGTTCTTAAAGGGCCTGATGGCCCAGAACGTATTGATAAAAAAAAACAATTAATAAATAGGTTCTTCAGGATTCAATGACTGTTACTTAAAATAACATAATATTGGACATCTTTTCACACTAATCAGTCCATCCAGGATTGTTTTTATGGTTCTCTGCAATCAACATAACAGATTTTTTGGTGTTAATTTTGAAATATTTGAAATGATTTTTTACAATATTTGTTCTAATATATTATGTTAAATGTGACCTTTACTTAATTGCTCTATCAGTCGTGGACTATAAATTGCCATCAAGTAACAGCAGTCACTTGAACCCAAATGTTAAAAAGACGGTACATGGACTCCTATGGATTAACGTATCGATACTCATGGCTGAAAAATCGAGATCTTCCGAGGTTGGAAAAATTTAATTTGTATAATTATGCAGCCGTAATGACTCATACCTTTGTCTTTGTTTATATTTATCAACTTACGGATGTACAGTGTTAAACATAGAAAAGGGATCTGGAGATCATGGTAAAAATCAGGTTTTGACTTTTCTGACATGTAATTTAACTCTATATATTCTTTCCATGCATCCTGTTCTAGATCCTCCTTCTTCTCCTGTTCCATCTTGTCAGTCCCAATTAATGACAGCAGAACAACATGGCATTTTCATCTCGCTTCTCCTTCTGGGAGCAAAAGGAAAGTCTTACATAGAAATGTCATGAAACACACACTTTAACTGCATGCTAAACAACGTTTTACCTAGATAGTTAACATCTTTTTTCATAGCTCTCAACTATTTCAAAAAGTTTTTGCTTTTCTGACCTAATCTGCTGTGATCTTGCACTATGTTGAATTAAGTCACTAATAGTGTTCTGACTGCATCACTTGTATGTGTTGTAAATTTAAGGTAGAACACTGTATGTGAAGACAGAAAATAAATGGGTGTGGTGGCATCTTCGCATGTTTTGAGCTTGGCCCAGTTTATCACCACGACTTTCTTATAAGAAGAAGGTTTGATCTGGTTTCATTCTTTACATCAACACTTTCTAGATCAAAGAAGAGAACAAGATGGGAGGCAAAAGTGTAAGTAAATACTGCATAGTGCTTTTTAAAAGTTTCACATGGAAAATATAATTTTCCTAACTTTTGTCTAAGTTCATTTAGTCTCATGTCAATTAAAGTTTTTATTGGAGCTTTTGATGTTAGTCACTCAGATCAGTCTGAGCAGATCATTAAGTTAGACCTCTTGTATCATAAACTTTTTTTTGGTCATGTTTGTTTACTCCCCTCCTGCAACACGTACATTCACATACAGTGACATACAGTCACTTAGACTTTGATGATAAATGAAATATTGAAGCTTATTATAGCCACCATTGTGGTAAATTTATTCATGAAGGACATTTAAACTGTTTAAGTTAAATAGTAAAAGTAAGCAGCACCATCAGGCCAGCGAGAATTTAAGCTTCTACAATTTACTTAATTTTTTTTTAAAACACCGTTGTTGTTTTTTTTAACTTTATCTCAATCAGTTGGCATTGGCAAAGCTCTGCTAGTGAAGAAACAACCCCTAGACATGCCGAGTGACACATAAATCGTCCAAGAAATGGATAATGGCATTTGTTGCCGAGACTTTTAGTAGTCAATTTTTATCCACTTTATCAATTGCAGCCCTATCTATAACCAAGTGATAATTTGTCTGTTGGCTTAAAGGAGTTCCTTCCCAACATTTACACTTTTGCCTTCTGTATTTCTTCTTCATAATTAGTTGGAAGTTGACAGGCTGGCAAGCCAGGCTCAATCAGTCCCTGGTCTAGATCCTGGCAGATCGATATTCAGGACAAAAAGCCCTTCAACAGCTTCCTGGGATGAATCTGCTTCTCCTGCACGAGGTTCTTCCCCACCAATCGTCACAGTGCCTGTTAAAGTCGCTGAGCGCTTCAAAAGCTCGGAACCACCACTGAAGACGACATTTAAATTAAACAGATCTAAGCCTTCACAAGTCCAGGTGACAGAGGCAGCTAGCTCTGGGCATGGAAACAACGGAAACAATGGCAAACGCATTCTGAATGGTCTGAACAATGGTAATGTTGATCATTTGGACACCAGTACCAGCCAGATGGACCTTACAGATGAACAGAGGACAGCACAGAAAACGGAAGGAAATGTGGTTCCTCTTGTTACTAAAAATGTTGTGTCCATACAGGATGATGAGGCAAAGATACTAACCCAAAATTTACCCAAAACTAAAGAGGAAACCAAATTTAGACCAGAAGCAGTCAAAACAGTTCAAGGGCCAAGAACAGTTCCACTGACAAAGACAGTGCCAGCATTCTCCTTTAAACATGACATTATCAAAACAGAAAATAAAGCGGATATTCCACGAGCACGGACACATTTTATGGTCAGTGACAAAAGAAAAGGGCTTTGCTCACAAACCAGCAAGGAACAAGTAGAAAAAGTAGAGAAAGGGAAATCACATGAAGAGAAGAAGAAAAGTGAGCTAATGAAAACAAATCAGGAGTGTACAGAGGGTACAACCACCCAGGTGTTAAAGGATACAGATTATTTCACATGTTTAAAGAAGACTTCATCAGCTCCTATTGGCTTACCTCAGACTACTTCCAAAGTTACTTCCAGACATTCTTCTCTCCTTTCAGTTGGGGGATTTGTGGCACCTCCCAAGTCAGCTCCCCTGACTTCCCATACTGGTGTCACATCTGCCACCTCTTTGGCGACTCCTTGTAGCCCACCTGCCTTTAAATCCTCAGGCTTGCCTCCACTGCATTCTGCTCTTACAGCAAATCCCTCTCACCAAGCTGCAGAAAGTCAAGAAGAGTTCCAGTGGTCCCAATCAACATGTCTGACCTACGTATGTATGAGACCCTGGTGTTAGAAATGCATGGTCCAGTCAGTAGAAGTAGAGACTGATGATGCGCTTAATGTCTTTATGATTTACATTCGCAGATCAGAAGTGATGCATTTGTGACCTTGTTTCTTCTGAATTAACTCCTCATCTGATGTGTTTTTGTTTGAGACTAGTTTTGAATGTGCATAATTAAAGGTTAAAGGAAGGATTTATAGCTTCAATGTTTGACGAGAGCTGTGTTCACAAAGCCTTCTATTTAATATTAATCTTATTTTGTAGAGGAAGCGCATTGAATCTGAACTCTAGTTTTGTATTATATGTATATACTTGTGGTGCAATGTAGTTGTTGTTTGTTGACAAGCTCTGAATATTTTCCAGCTGACAGAAGGACAAACATTGCATGCACATTTTGTGCATGAAATCTTTCAATCAGTTGCATGGACTGGTTAGGTTTACCGTTTGACTAACTGTGCACTACCATTTTTGTTAAAGTGTTTGTGAGTACATTAGTGTAATGGTGAGGAGGCTTTCAATAACTTTTTCAACAACTGATTTGGTGTTTACATGTGGTATAAAACAGAGAGCCAGCAGGTTGGCTTTACTTCCATTTACAATAAGGCCAGGTATAAGCTGTAGTAGTGCAGATAAGAACTATAACTGGTTCTGTCTTCATTCCTGAACTTGGGTTGGCTTTTAATTTCTAAACCATATCAACTTTAATGTAATTCTAAGTTGCTTTGGTAGCTTCTTCCTTTTTTGCTTCCTTACAGCACATTGTGAATCATGCTGTAGAAAACATGAGCTTTATTGTCCAACTACGTTCTGAAACAACTTGAATGATTGTTGGTCAGTGTATTCCTAGTTTTATGAACACATATCTTTCATGCTAATGTAATATTCACCCAGTTGGACAGAGTCTGAGAGCAGGAAATGCTCACACACAACACTAATGATGTTACCCAAAATCCCAAGGGAGTGAAGAAATATGAACGTATCACATCTGATGTTATCACAGTATTTGCCATTGAAAGATTGTGTAATGTTGTACAGGTCTAGTCCAAGAGGTGTTCCACAAGCAGGTGTAAACAGTTCATTAGAGGTTGTGTCCTCATTAAGCTCTTTCTTTATGAAGTTTGAGAACTCCAAAGAACAACTCTGACAGATCATCAATAGAGCAGGGATTTAAATTAGGTACTCTACTATTGCTAATAGGATTAGCTAATAGTATCTAACACAGTGATGGTAGCTGAGCTATCATCAATAATCTGCCATCATGGATATCACTTATTAATAATCACAAAATAAACATCAAGCCTATAAACAGAATACTAAAAGGGACTGAATATTCTGTTCTTTGTGTGTGAAATGTTTGTGTTTTTTGGTGTTGAATTCTGACGCATAGAATGACGTTGTTGTCAATTGCTATGGCAACTTGTTTGTGGAGTGAGAAAACACAAGAATGAATTGTGTTCATTCTTTGCTTACAATTCAATGAAAAGGCTTTATTCTTCAAAGCCTTTTCTGCATAATTTCTTTCATTGCTGTGGCGCATTGTTCTGAATTAATACCTACATCTCCAGGTTTCATTCAGTTAATGGAATAATAACACAGCAGTGCAGCTATGGATGCCTTGCAAAAGAATAGTTTTTTAGCCCTCCAATAGTGTGCGCATGCGCAATATTTCTGGGTGGAAACAATAACATGCAAGGGGTCTATAATGTGCGTGTGTGCGTGTGTGTGTAGCATGTTGCCCATATATAACTGTGCTTTGACTTCTTAATGCTGCCAACACCTTCAGGAATCAGGGGAAGAGGATCTGTTTTCTCCTTTCCAGACGTCTCATGTCGCAGTTAAGAAACCTCCAGTGTGGCCTGGACCATGCCTGTCATAAAAGCTCCAGCTCATCACATGAATCTCAGTGCTGTGAACCCACTGTAATGCATGTTTTAGACGTTTCTCTACTTGAACACACCAGATTTTAATAGTGAAGGATGTCCTCAGCAAATCCTCCCTTTTGTCAGCCACTGATTTAAATCAGGAGTGTTGAAGCAGGGAAACATGGGAAACGAGCTGGGAACAGGTTTAAAGAGAATTGTTCTCCACTATGGCATGTACGTCCTCTGCTCTGTCCCTCCCTTTGCCTGCAAAATGCATGTTTTCAACAAGGTCCAACCTATTTGATGGAACATCACTAGTCACGATGTAAAGTTTGTGGATTCACATTCATAAATACGTCATTTTTCATTAACTTATTTTTGAGTGGTTTTTCTTATTTTGTGGCCTGGTGTGTTATTTCACAGGTGTTCTTCTTGCTTATGCTCACTGGTTAAGGTGATGTAAAGTTTGTGAACTGGGGTTCCAACGCAGCCACCCTCCCTCACATAGCCCTACAGCTGGTGTGTGTTTGGCCTGAAGTCTCACTCACTAGCTAACGTTCCCTCCAGGTTTTTTCTGTAACCTCCCAGCATGCACTGGGATTAAAGTGGATATTGCTAGTGACTTGAGACCACTCCAGTGTGATGATGAGCAGTTTTTGTCCCTTCTGTGTTAAACCTGACATCGTTGTGTTTTCAGGTGAAGACAGAGGAGCAGATTACAGCAGAGCAGGCCTGGTACGGATCAGAGAAGGTCTGGCTTGTTCACAAAGAGGGCTTCTCTCTTGGTGAGTAAGGGTTTGTAACTTCTATTAACACAAGTAACAAGTTAATCATTCTGCCAGCAAACAACCTCTCCTGTCTTGTTCCAGGTTCTTTGATTGGCCTAATTTTTTTACCTGAAGTTTAAAATTATCGCCCCCAAAAAATCCTTTTAGATGTGTCTCGTTCGTCAGATTCTAAATACTTACTGAAAATAACAACCTTTTAACAGGCATTAAGCATAATTTGCATTAAGCCCACATTTCTATAATAAAATCGTTTTTTGTAGGCCAGATGTAATACTCTAATATTAAAGTCATGCTTTCATCAACATGAGGCAGAAAATACTCCTTTTAAGAAAAATAACGCAGGTGTGAAAGTGTTATTCCTTGTGGATTTCATTTATACAGTATCATTGTTAATTACTGGAATAAATAAAGTTTTGACCAGTTTTTTCATTTTGAATATGACTGCATGTTTCCTGCACGTTATTCTCGCAGCCACTGTGCTGAAGACAGAGTGTGGCTCACTCCCTGAGGGAAAGGTGAAGATCAAGCTGGAGAATGATGGAACTATACTGGATGTGGATGAGGACGACATAGAAAAGGTGAGTACCACATGGATACAGCTGAGCACTGATGGTCACCAATCAGAATCTGACTTAAACAGCTTCTTTTCAAACTTACAATTCAAAGTTCAGTTGAGAATAAACTAGTAGCAAATGTTACCTGACCTTTTAAAAAAATATAGCTTCTAATTTTTAATAAGTATCCTAGGAAAATTGTTATCTTAAAAAAACAACTACAATCAGTTTGTGATGAGCAGGTTTATCTCCATGAGACTGTACTCGGATACTCGGGTCAGTGATCCTGTTCACTGCCCAGCAGAATCAGTCCATTGTTCTTCTGTGGAAGTCTGGCAGTGGTAAAACCTCCATCAGAACCTAACAAGAAGCCTTCTTTTTCAGGAGGAACAGGGAGTCCATTATTTTGACTTTGCTCAGAATTCCTCTTGGTTATTCATTTTTCAGATTGTCATGTGATGATTCATATAATATTTGACTGTCAACTGAACCCATATATTGTGTTCTGGTCACACTGAACCTCAGACTCTTGTCTTGTCTGACTCTTGCTGAGCTACCAGGACTCTCCCTGCTCAGATGAAGCCTGCTGTGCCTGAGTGGCCTAAACAAAGTTACAGAGTCTCAGATTACATCTGTATATAGTTTACTTTTTAAAACCCATTTTCCCAGAAACTGTAGTCTTTGACTGTGCTGAAGACAGTCATAGTTTTAGTACTATGACTGTGAGTTTTGTCATGGTATTTGTATGCGTGTGCAGGCCAATCCACCAACATATGATCGCTCAGAGGACCTGGCTTCGCTCGTTTACCTAAATGAGTCCAGCATGATGCACTGCCTGAGGCAGCGCTATGGAGGAAACCTCATCCACTCCTTTGCTGGACCCAACATGGTCGTTATCAACCCTCTCAGTACACCGTCTATGTATTCTGAGAAGGTGAGTGGAGACTACAGGTGCTACAACTGGTAACAAAGCAACAGAACAGGACAGTTTACAATGTGACATGTTTATCTGTATTAGCATTGGCTTCAGTTTACTTTAAATGTTTTTTCTGGTTATTCCTGCCCTTCATGCCAACAGGTCATGCACATGTTCAAAGGCTGTCGGAGGGAGGACACTGCCCCTCACATCTATGCTGTGGCCCAGTCAGCCTACCGCAACCTGCTCACTACCCAGCAGGATCAGTCCATTGTGCTTCTGGGGAAGTCTGGCAGCGGTAAAACCACCAACTGCCAGCATCTGGTCCAGTACCTGGTCTCTATAGCTGGAAGCACGGGCAAGATCTTCTCTGGTAACCCATCCTCAAGAAGAAATAATAGACATTAACCAAACTTAGAAATGAGGAGATGCTTTCATCAAATCTGATCCGACTGTGGTTGCTCACTGACTGGAAGTATCAGTCGCTGTATCACAGATTAAATTAATTACAGAAATCAAAAGTGCGCTGTAATAAAAATAAAACCTCCAACATCTGCAGCAGCGAACAGGCGAAGAGAGGAGACCTGTGCTGACTGCAGGTTGTAAATAATTTTATTGACCTAATTTTAAATAGTTTAAACAGTTACAAGAACATACTCTTGCTTTTTTTCTTCTGGCAATATGCGCAGTACAATGTGTGCTAACGCAGCGCAACATCGACTCATAATCCCTCTGTACTGTACAAAAATATAACATAAATATTATACAGTTATCAAAAATAGAAAAATCAAACTCCAGATGTGGAAATAGAAGGAATAGGAAGACTGGTTACTAAACACCATGGTCAGAACATTTATATTTTGCAACACATGCAGAACTTGAATTAGTTACTTTAAATTGTTGAATTATTTGAATTAAACCAGAATAAAGATGAATAAGTTCTATGTTCATAGATCTGCTCATTGCCGTTCAGTGATTTGGAGGTGACAGATGTCTAGCTCCAACCCTTAACCATTTGACTCTTCCTCCCAGAAACACTTGAGTCATTGTTGCTTTCTGATCTATATAGCTTAATAAATGTAATTCCAGCCCTTCATTAGAATCAGCTCTGTCCTCTGCATCACTCCACCTGGCTTCTTCCTCCAAAACTGCAGATAAATCGTTCAAATCTTTAAGCTTTGATTTACCATAAGATGACGCCCCCATTGGATCCAATTACTACAGACAAAATTGTGAACTATGCAATGCCATACAATGTACAGTACTCTGCGTAAAATATTTATTATAAAAAAGCAATGTACAGAATGAAAGCACAGTAGGTCATCTTGCTAATGATGTCTTGGTTCTATTGTGTCACTGTCTCTTTTAACCTAAACCTACCAGGGGTGTGAATGATCTGGGGATTAACTGTATCTAATGATTGTAACTCCATAGAGAATGACCCCCAGCTGGGATTAGAGTGATAGTCCACAGTAGAGCCCAGATTTTCTGAGTGGAGGTTCGACCTCTCCAACCAGAGACTGAAGGAAGTTCCTGGCCTAACAGAAACTAGTTATCAATTATTTCAAAGTGATGCTGTAACATTCAAAGTACCTTCTTTAGTTCAGCAGGTAGACAAAGTGTTTACATTGTTAGAGCAGAACTGAAGCTTCTCTTTAAATGACTGCCATGGAATGAGGGATGGGAATTAATCCTCTCCATCTCCAATTGAAACAGCTGAGAAGTGGCAGGCGGTCTACACAATACTAGAGGCCTTTGGCAACTGCTCCACAACCATGAACATGAACGCCAGCCGCTTCTCTCATGTTGTGTCCCTGGACTTTGATCAGGCTGGACAGGTGGCTTCTGCCTCCATCCAGGTAACAAAGCTGTCAGATGGTTTTAATGCCCCCTGATCACAATATTTAATTTAATACTAAAGTTGTCTCCTCTTATTTAGACCATGCTGCTGGACAAACTGAGGGTGAGCAGAAGACCTGAAGCAGAGTCTACCTTCAATGTGTTTTACTATGTGATGGCTGGAGCTGACAGCACTCTGAGGTGATGATGCTGACTTACTGTTAGCCTGTTCTTTGATCAGTTTTGTTTGTTTTGACTTACAAACAAAACTGTTTGTAAGTGATCCTAAGCAGTTCCTCTGCTTAGGATCACGTTTATCTCAGCCTTACTGAAAATCCTGGGGTGTAGGATTTTGTGGACTTGGATACAAACCTGTAAAACGCTGTGATCTTCACTTTATGGATTTAAATGATGGGTTTGCAACTTTCTGTAAAGTTACAGAAGTCATGTCAGAAGTTAAAGTTAACAAGAAATGAAGAGGTGGCAAAAATGAAGAGATGATCAAGTAGATGGTGTTTAAATTCAGCCAATAAGACATTTTTGATGTAAAGATTGATGGGTTTACTGATCCTTGGGGGACACCTGTGGTAGACTTGAGGTAAATGTGGCTGCTGTTCCACTCCTGGAAGCACTGGCAGCTGTCTTAAATGTTTTCCACTTGTAAATAATCCAGTCCTGGAAAAACTCCAACTGTCATGAAGATGGAGCGCTGGCTTCCATTACTTCCTTTCTGATAGCTCAGTAGCGACACCCAGTGGTTCACTGTTGTTTAACAGGGAGAGTGAACATGAAGTTTCATGTCTAAGGCCAATAGGAGCTCACTGTGTGTCTGACCTTCCTCTTAGAACCGAGTTGCACCTTAACCAGCTGAATGAAAGCAGTGCTTTTGGGATTCACTCACATTCCAAGGTAAATGGCTGCTTACCTTTTTCATTGCTGGCTCCCCCAGCACATGTGCCATCCCACTAAGCAATCTGGGACATTTGATCCGATGTGGTTTTCAGACTGAAGACAAGCAGAGGGCCGTGCAGCAGTTCACCAAGCTGCAGGCGGCTATGAAGGTGCTGGGCATTTCTGTGGAGGAACAGAGGGCTCTCTGGCTTATTCTGGGAGCCATTTATCACTTAGGGGCCGCAGGAGCCACTAAAGGTAGGAACGTCCACCTCTCCATCTTTAAATACGCCACATTTTCATTAGTAGGATGTTCTATTGCTTTCATCTCTGCTACCACAGGGAACATGTGTGATCAACTAACGCTTGCAGTGTTTCAGTGGCTTTTCAGGGTTGTTCATGGCTCCTGGTAGTTTTTGTTGGTTGGTTCTCATGAATAATTGCATCCATAAACTGTTTTGTCTAACTTCTTCTCTTTACTTGCATGTTTGCATGCTGCGTCCTATCAAATGCAGATGAAGACGAAGGTAATGGAATGAGTATTTTCCTCTTACAACAGTTGGTTTTAGAGTCTGTATGTTTGCTTTTTCTGCCCTGATTCCCTCCTCATTTTGTCCAAACCTTCATTTGTTTGCATTATCATCACCATCCTCCTCCTCTGCTTTTCCTTCTATCTAGTGTTTTGTGTGTTTCTGTCATGTCAGCCCTTCTGGGCAGCAGCAGATCATGACTTTTCCACCCCTCTAGTGACTGTTTATTGCAGCTCTTTATTTAGCCTGTCTCTAAAGAAGTGGGATAAAATGGACACCTTGTTGCTTCCTGTATTAACTTTTAAACTATTAACTTTTAAACTTTGTACTTCATGGATCTGCCTCAGAGGAGGAGGATAAGGTTCATCATCCTGCTGTAGCCTCCACCAGATTAAACCAGTCAGGTTTTAGCAGTATTCCTCACCCCAACACTAGCAGAAATATGTACATTTTCTGGATGTTCCATCCTGTGGTAGTCACCAACAGTCTTTGGTAAATTTCTATTAGGATACTGGAGAAATCTGGATGAAGGCATTGGACATAGCTAAAATCCCTGGCAAACTCTGCTGCCGAGGATCCATGTGTTCATCTGTTTGTAGATGTGAGTGGAGATGATGGCCCATTTATAGTGGGTCATCCTTTAGAAGGCAACCTGCAACAGAACAGGATAGGACAGAAGAACAACAACCAGTCTAGGTTATAGTCATAGAAGCTCAGCTTATGGTTGAATTTTTAAAGATCTATCCATGATTTCATCTCTTCATGTTCCAGAAGTCTCTAGAGTAATCCTGTCCTCTTGAGGTTAACACATTCCTGATTTTGTGTTTGTTGGCATCTGCTGGCAGGGCAAAGTTACCAATTCAACAGAAGTCTAACAGTAGCAGGAAGTCTATTAGACCAGTCTTATGTTTCCTTTTCATTATCTTTGCTGTTACATTTTATGTTCACCATATTCGTCTTTATTGTTACTGATTTTAAGGCTTTAGAAATACTTGTGTTTTTTCAGCAGGACGCAGGCAGTTTGCCCACCATGAATGGGCTCAAAAGGCAGCCTATCTACTGGGCTGCACCCTGGATGAGCTGTCCTCTCTGATCTTTAAGAACCAGACCCGGGGAATGCAGCCGCTGTTCAGAGGGGGCCCGGATGATGCTGGTACAGGCGACAACTTAGGTAAACCACCAGCTTTAAAGCCTGGAGCTGTCTTGGATGCTGACTTCTTGTCAGATAGGTGTTTAATTCTTGAAATGGTTTACACTAGTGTTGGACCAATTGCAATTTTCTGGCCGATCACTTATAGCCAATCTTTAAAAAGCCTGACCTGCCAATTCCGAGTTTGGCCAATACTATTGTTTTTTTGTCTGAAATTGAGATTTAAATTTTTAGAAAGTCACTGAGTTGGCAACAGTGAGGTGACTATTGTTAACTGCAAACTCGCAGACATGACCTGTTGTGTATCAGTCAAACCTCTCTGATGGCAGAGCAAAAGAGGACAGTGATTGATTTTTAGATCTTTGGTGAGGCAAGTAAGATCTGGGAATAATATCATCTTCACATGTAAGTATCGGCCAATTACCAATCTCCCAAAATTCAGAAAATCGGCTCCGATAAATCGGTGCTCTCCTAGTTTGCACTTCGTCTGTCTACCATAAATAAAGCTTATAAATAAAATTAGAGAGGAGCAAAAAACACTTCCATGAATGTGTCTGCTTCCATTCCTTGGCTAGAGAATAAACTATATAATTCACACACATAATAACTTGCGTTATCTACAATTTTATGGAGAGCATTATATATTCAGCATGGTACATTTAAGTCTCGATAACATTCAGTGATGATCAAAAATTCCCTCTGTATAGAACTATAGTTCTACATCTGTGTTTATATTTAGGAAGCACTGAGATTTCTTTTTGCTATATGTTTATTATTAATGAGCCAAATGATAAAACAGTCGACCCTGATTCAGCCGAGTGACACTGCTGGTAGTTCGGTTCTGGTTCTGGCTCTAAGCTGTCGTGACCCCTGCCCCCTTTGTCTCATAGGCTCTAAATTCACAGCTCTGGAATGTTTGGAGTCCATGGCATCAGGACTGTACTCAGAGGTCTTCACAGTGGTCATCTCTCTCATAAACAGGTGAAATATTTTCATTGTCCCTGCAGCTACTGGCCAAAAGCCTCTGATTGACACAATCTTTTCTACAAACCTAGTTTTTTCATAGTTTTTGTTTTTATTTATTACTAAGGTTTCTTTTTGGGGTTGAGTTTTGTGATAACTGTGTGTTGACATCAACGCATACTCTGATGTTTTCTCTTACTGTCTTGAGTCTGCTCAAGACGATGATTTAATTGCTTTAATTTGTGAATTGGTCCTTGAGATTTTAATTGGAGATATAAATGGATTTTAAATAAATTATTATTAATTTGTGTATGGCAGCAAAGAGGACCATAAATCCTCATCAGTCCTCCAAATGTATGAGGACCAAGGTTGTGAGGACTGCTTGGTTAGGGTCTCTTGCATTCTTGATTTGGTGAAAGTAAAGCAATCATGTTCTACAGTAAATGGTCTACCTGTCTTACTTTTTACTTTCTTTAAAAATCTGGTCATTTTTTCATGTTAGTGTTCGATCAGTTTGTTCAATGTATTCAAAATTTTCTGACAGGGCCCCCCCAGTTAATATTTACAGTAAAAAGCAGCATCAACTCTATCTGTCTTATGTGTGACTTAAGAAAAAAACTCTGTCAGGATGCGGTCAGGATAGTGAGCAGAGGGGGGCGGATCCAATGGGCTCTGTTGGGCTTAGTTTGATTTGTCAAAATTATAAAAACAGATTTGTACTCTTGTAGATGGTAAACATGGATTCAATCTTTGTCTGATGGATCAGTTTGCTCTTTGCATTCTTTATTTTCTGGCTGTCTTTGTTTCTGGTTAATATTTAAAAGCATCAGCAGAGATTTTCCGAAATTTTTAAATTTGTAATTTAAACTTTGAAATGGTTTATAGCTCTGACTTCATGACATAAACTTGTCAAAAAACCTTAAAAACTTTAACTTGTATCGAGACCTGGAATGTGACTTAATTCTTTGGTGTTTAGACTTGAAGCGTATTTGTGACCTGTTAAACAATGACTTCTGAACAATAATTGAGTTATTTCCATGTTTGCCCCTCTGTTCCCCTGCCCTGTCTTTCGACCCTATTTTTGTCAAGAAATGTTCTGTTGTTCTCTCTTGATATTCCCTCATCATCATCAAATCTTTGTTCTAAGGGCTCTGAAGTCCAGCCAGCACTCCCTCTGCTCCATTCTGATCGTGGACACGCCGGGTTTCCAGAACCCTCGCCTAGCTCAGCAGCAAAGAGGAGCTACATTTGAGGAGCTCTGCCATAACTACACCCAGGAGAGGCTGCAGACTCTGTTTCATGAACGGACTTTTGTCCAGGAATTGGAAAGATATAAGGAGGTGCACCTGTACAGCGAGCATGGCATTATACACACAATCAAAAACATGCACATACTGATAAAAGAACTTCAGCACTATGTCTATACCTCTGAAGAAATTATTTCATTTGGGCAAAACTTGTCCCACATCCAGACCAGAGATTGCTATGGAAACGACAGGATTAATCAGCAGTCGGCACACCTGTGCATTACCAGTGATGTGATGGTGTCACACTAGCGGTTTCTGTAGCATCTGACAGTCAGAACAGTTAATGAAGGTTTCCATCAGAGGGTCCCAGTAGACATTTCAGGTATCTGACAGTAGGACCAAACCAGAGGTCGCCAAAGATCGCATTGTGGCTTTGTAAAGTCAGGCGGTTGATGATGCAGCTGGTGGTTTTTCCAACATGGTGCAGGTTGACACCTGGTGTGTGTGGTTGATTCATTGATTCATCAGTTTGCCTAACTTGCTGGGGCAGGGGCGAAGTTTTGAGGAGGGTCTGGGAGGGCAGACCCTCCTCTTTAGGCAGTAAAGGACTTCAGGGATCCAAGCCCTTCTGATGAAAGCTGGAGAAGGCAGGGCCTCTCCTGAGGAGCACAGTATTTATATAACCCTATAACCATGACTTCATGGTTTTAGGCTGTTTATAGTTTAGGCTTACCGTGGAGCTGCCTGCAAGAGCACCTTACAAATCATCCAGTTTGCGTAAGTGACAGTGTTGCAAAGATCCGGAGGTGGCTGCAACATGCTGCTCGTGCGGCAGGGTTGGCACTTGCCACTGCGTGCCCTTATACTGCGCGCTGCTGCAAGCTCGGCTCAACACGTCAACAATAAACCTAGCTTCTGCAGTTGCTAGCTGCTCCAGGTTCTGAGTTTAAATTAAGTGTCAAAATGATCCAATTGCTATCCATGGTGCTGAACAGCTTTGAATTTGTGTTGTTTCATTATTAGGGAGCACCTAACCTCATGTTTCTGTAGTTCTCTTGGTTTGTTGTACTTCATGTCTGTTTGATGGAAAACAGAATACAGAATGACATAGTTGCTCTCTGTGGTGCCAAAGCTTGTTAGCCCTGCTGTTGTGGGCATGTCTATGTTGCAAAATTATATTAACATGAGCTTTATTATTTGGGTATGAAGGGCCCGGTCTTTAGCCCTGCCCAGGGCCAACGCTGATTTGTTCTGCTTGTGTGCTGGGGTTATTACTTAATATGACCACCAAAGCAACAGTTGGTTATTATGAGCATGATATTTGCTGTACCCTACATGTACATAAGATGGCATGTAATCATTTTCCGATAATTAATATTTTGTGGAAATATCTACATTCCAAGGCCTTCTATACATCTGCATTATTTTGTGTGCAGTACTTGGGTTTCTGGATTTAAACCCAAATACTGCACATCTGCACCATGTCTAAGTAAACTATTGACTTAATGCTGAACATTTTTTCGGTGAGTGCACAGTTGGTTCAGTTCTCTTTCTCTGTCTCTTACTGCCCGAGCTGCGTAGCGTCACTCGATGATTCCTGTGTGAATGTGATGTAGCTCACTAACCTCAGCTGTTATCCTCCCTGCTTCTAGGAAAACATAGAGCTTGTTTTAGATGACGTAGAGTCCAGTTCCTCCCTGTCTATAGCTGCTATTGATCAAGCCCCTCCACAAGCTCTGGTAAGTACATCTCACGAGTGTATGATGGTGTTATATGGAGGCATTCTGGGAATTTGGGGGTAGAGCTTTTTCTACCACACAGTTCTTTAGAGGGCTCGGGCTCGACCCAGTTCTGGTTTGTTCTTCCAGCAGCCCAGATCAAAGGCAGGGCTATGAAACACCTAATTCCTTCATGGTGGTTTGATCCTACCTGCTTTATTCTGTTTTAGTAATTGTGAGCACTTTCAGTCCTGATCAGCTGATCTCTAATAATCACCAGCAGATGGAAAGTTAGAGTTAAACAATTTTCAGAACAGAATAATAATAAAAAAGATGCTTTAGGGGCATTTGTGTTCAGCGCTGTAAAGAGCCCCAGTTGACTCTGATTCAGTCCAATAGTCTTCTTGCTGTACGCTTCCTATAACTTGATGCAGATCTAAATAAAAATATTTGATAGGACTAATTCAGCTGTGTTTTTATGTACTGTGGAGAGGATACAAACAGTTAATGTCCTAGTTGTAACTAAAGCTGTTATGTATAAAAGTCTGCAAAAGAGCATCAGCAAACTTGTTTCAGATTGTAGAAGTCTGCTTAGATCTGGACTTTGTTCGGAACAGTCATTAGCTGGACCGGACAGTCACAATGTCCTCTTTCTTCACACAACGTTGGTGAGAGGAAAACATCCATTCCTCTCTTTGCTCTGTCCTCAGGATTCTATGAGCTGAGACGAAAGAAGTCATAGTTGAGTTTCCCTCTGTGCTCCCTGCAGGTTCGTTCTCTGGCCCGAATGGAAGAGGCTCGAGGCCTTTTGTGGCTGATGGAGGAGGAGGGGGTTAAACCTGGAGGATCAGAGGAGCTCATGCTGGAGAGACTCTTTAGCTACTTTAGTTCTGGTCTGGGAGAAAACAAAGGTCATCTTCTGCCTCCTAATCTAGGATTCCACAGATTATAAAAACTGACCAGTGTCATTTTTACTGCAGAAGCCAGTCTGTTACTGCGAGGGGAGAAGTCTCACCTTTTCCTTCTGGGCCACAGCCATGGAACGGACTGGGTGGAGTACAACGTTCAGGGCTGGCTGGGCCATGCTAAGAACAATCCTGCAGCCCAGAGTGCTGCCACTCTGCTCCAAGACTCTCAGAAGTACGGCCTTCCTCAGCAAACACTCCCACAATGTCTGGTTTATCAAGAAATATGTGCTGAGTAGAGAGAGTTGGTTACCAGAATTACAATAATGCTGCTGAGCTCTTCCCTAGATGGATGGATTTCACTTTCCATTCATGAGTAAAAGCAGTGAAAATTGTATTTTACACTCCATTAATGATCTAATGTAAGTAATGGTAGCTTGTAAAAGTGCTGACTGGAAAACAATGACTAAAGGTTCCATCTGGTTTTCTGCCTGATTAATCAGCCATCCTGAGATGCCTAGAGTATCTCACACCTCCCGGTTATGAGCCTGTAGCTCCAAGGGGAGTCTAATGTTAAATTACACGTGTTCATCATCTAGAACAACTTTAGGAGCATTTTAACCTACACTTACCTTACAATATCCTCATAAGCTGAAACAGGTAAATATCAGCAGAACAGATCAAGTAGAAAGTCAGCGCTTCAACCTCCTAGCGATGCACATGATTGCAAATGACAGCCGTGTTTTTGTGACCAAGGAAGAACATCAGTGGTCTGTTCCTGGGCCGGTCCAGCGGGGCCACAGTGCTGTCGGGCTCCATCGCTGGCCTGGAGGGCAGCTCTCAGCTAGCTCTGCGCCGCGCCACCAGCATGAGGAAAACTTTCACCACAGGAGTCGCTGCTGTCAAGAAGAAGAGTCACTGCATCCAGGTCAAACTCCAAGTGGTGAGTTAATGAAATGGCACAAGACACAGAGCGGTTATTAGGCAGAAATTCTTTACATCCACATGTGTTTTGCTCACATGGAAGCAACCAACAAGCTGAAATCATAAATTACTTAAACAAACAGGGAATGCAGAAATAGTAAATCCCAGACTTCTTCAGACCCAAATTCAATTCATTTCACTTCAACTTATTTATATTTTCACGTTTCTATATATTCACATATTCACCTGACACTCAACATTCCTTTTCTCTGTCATTGTTGAGAAGGATGTAAATAATAATAAACATGTTTTTCTTATGAAAGTGTAAATAAAAACAGATTAATTATTTTCTCAAACCTCCTTTTAAATGTCTTTTATCATTTAAAAAGAGATTCCTGCCTCATTTCTTAGAAGAAATTATAGTCTTGGCTGAATAAAATCTGTTTGAATCTGAATCTGTCAGCGGGGTTGACTTAACCCACAAGCTGTGTGCAGACTTTCCAATTGCTTCTGTGTTGTAAGGAACATGTTAGTCACTCTCAACATAGTGAAGCTGCACCTGACTAATGGAGAAGAAGCTCTAGTAGGTCACAGCAAAGGAAAACACACTCCACTGTTGAATGTCAACAGCATTCAGTTCAATACTGAACCATCGCCATATATATATAGATTGCAAGATGGGCTTAGTGCATTATCTTGTTTGCAAACTAAACCAACAGATCCATCTTTGTGTCTTCAGGATGCCTTGATTGACATGGTGCGCCGTTCCAAGGTCCACTTCGTTCATTGTCTGCTGCCCAAAGCAGAGTCAGTGGCGGGCAGCGACCCCCGTGCTCCCCATGGAGAGAGCTCTGATTCGGGGCTGATGACTTTAGATGTGGGCCTCCTGAGAGCTCAGCTCAGGGGCTCCAAGCTGCTAGATGCCCTGCGCATCTACAGGCAAGGTGAGGCATTCTGACACCTTCATGATGGAAACTACCACACAGTTGAGACTAGAGCAAACAGAGGAGCAACTTGGTTTATTTGGTCGTTTAAATTACAGCGAGTATTATGAAGTTATTGATCCAACCCTGGTAGAAGATCGTTTAACTGGAGAATGATGGATTTCAAACTGTCCTGATCTTTATTTGGATCTTGATCAGATGCCATCATCTCCAGGTCTAAAACTGACAGTTAATAAAACCAATGCCATGTTTGGTTTCTTTTGTCTGGTAATGAAATCATGACTAACAGAACTACTGTTCTGTAGATAACTCCTGATGCATGATCCTCTCTTTAAGATATTAATCCCATTGTGTGCGTCTTTCTGTACTTGGGTTCTTCTCTTTTGGAGGTGACTGTCACTTTAAGAAATTGTGGTGTTTCCTAGTCTGGGAGGAGTTGCCATCAGCAGACTGATTTGGCTCACATCCAGACCTGTCTCTGGCTGTTTCCATGGTAATTAAAGGTATCCAAAAGAGCACCAGACTGTGGGTCCTGTCCTCACCAGAGGCACAGCTCCTGCAGCAGCAGTAATGATGAGCTGCCCTGTGAGTTGCTGTGGTGTGGAGGGGTAGTCAAAGGGAGGCGTTGTCTGATTGCAGCCAAATCAGGGACCTGAGTTGCACATAAACTGCTTCAGCAGCTTGAGATCGGGTCCAAACTCAGCTCACTTCATGAAATGTTGAGCAAGAACTGGGAGAAGACGACACGGACGGCAGCATGGCTAGCAACTGTTGCATCATGCTACCAAAATTATTTCATTAACCAGAACTTCCAGTTAAGCTGAATTCAGAGTTTTCCATGAGAATCACAGTTTGCTCTCTCCCTGTTGCCAGGTTACCCAGACCACATGGTGTTCTCAGAGTTCCGCAGACGCTTCGATGTTCTAGCGCCACATCTGACCAAAAAACATGGCCGCAACGACATAGTCCCAGATGAGAAGAGAGTGAGTCTGTTTCTATGCAGTTCTGTTGTGAAAAGCTTATTAGTGACTGCTGAGGGGTGAACAGAGAATAATGAGTTAGTTCAGTTTGTCCTCTGCTTCCCCTTTGACTGGCAGTTCATCATGTTTCCTTCCTGAAATGTTTCTGCTGAAACTGCTTGCTGCAGCTTGTCCAGGTAAAATCTGCTGTCATTGCCGTCTACTTTCTGATCTCCTGTGCCTGCAGTTTACTCATCTGTAGTCATGGGTTACCCCGCCACGTTACTCATTATGTAATTAAGTGATGATATGCAGGCACTGAGCTTTCTGACATTATACATGAGGCAGAACAGCTTAGCAGCATTTCCCCTACCATTATGTTTTTTATTACATATATAATTTCCTGTTGAAAGTTACAAGAAGCTCTTTTTCAACAGTATTAGTGAAGAGAGTTTGGATCTTTTTCTTTGCTGTGGTAATACTGTTTTTATTCTGCCGGCCACAATTTGCCCTGATTTGCACCAGGGATCAGCTGATTGAGCTGAAGCCAGGAGGCACGGTGACCAGACCCACAGAAACCCCCAAATGTAGAAGGAAACATTGAGGTTCCAGAGGAGGAAACAAACAGTGGAGGAGAGAAATAAGGAAGAAACAACAGAGATTTATGGAGAAGAGGAGGTTATAAGCGGTTTCTCCCCTCTGTTAACTTGGGCAACGTTAGATCGCTGGTCAACAAAATGGATGTGTTAACCGCGCCGGCCAAGTATCAGAGTACTGGGAGGATAGCTTAATGTGTTTTATGGAGACATCGCTGCACACAGACGCTCCTGATGCCAGGGTCTCCATTGAGTATTGAGAGCAGAAAGTCAGAGTCACCTTCACACCTCCTTCCCTGCTCCTCTTTTCGGTGACCTTACCCCACCACTCAGCTGGCCACCTCTACAATAAACATTACTGCTGAAGATGTTAGAAGTCAGCTGGTCAGACTCTGCTCTCACAAGGCTGCAGGCCCTGATGGTGTGAGTCTGGATATCTGTGCTATCCAGCTCTGTGGAGTCCTTCAACGTCCTGTGATGTGGAAATCAGCCTGTAGTATTCCAGTGCCAAAACACTGCAAATCTCAGGTTCTATTTCTCCATCTGACTGCTTGATTGTCCTGCTGGTGTTTAGGCGGTGCAGGAGCTGCTGGAGTCCCTGGAGCTGGAGAAGAGCAGCTATCACCTGGGGCTAAGCAAGGTGAGTGAGTGAGGCTCAGGCTCATCCTGTCAACTTGAAATGGAGCTGAAAAACTCTCTGCTGCTGTCCTCCAGGTGTTTTTCCGAGCTGGGACTTTGTCCATGCTTGAGGAGCAGCGTGATGTCCAGACCAGGAGGAACATCTCTCTGTTCCAGGCTGCATGCAGGGGGTACCTGGCCAGACAGGCATTCAAAAAGAGAAAGGTAGGACGGCTGTGTGCTCGCTTATATCAGACTCAGAATATTCTCAATGTTCTGCCTGTTCATGGATGTTTGATGGCATTGACATGTAAGTGGCCTGATCAGTCCTATCATATTATCCTACAAATAAAAGACAGGGTGTACTTTTTGTTTTTCCAATGAACCTGCCATCCAATCGGAGAGCAGCTGATTCTCCTCCATTCAGCTGCAAACCATTATTGATTCATCCAAACAGACTGGACAATCCTAATGTACAATTGCTACAACACATCACTTGTGCAGTTCAGCAAAAAAAGTAAAATTGTTTCTATGCAACTTTAGTTGGTCAGTAAAAACTAAAATAAAATGTAATAAATTGCCAAACCCACAAGATTGCTCAGGCCCTATACACATCAGCATCACTGCAGCATTACAGGAACTCATTGCATTGAGAAGAAAACATTGGCAAGCACTTTTTTTATGCCACTCTGTTATGATTGAATGAATATTTTCTTCCTGAAATCGTATTTCACCTCTTGTGTGACAGTAAAACTGATAACTGTGGTGTTTGGTTCTGCTGATCAGATCCAGGATCTTGCCATCCGGTGCATCCAGAAGAACATCAAGAAGAACCGTGGTGTGAAGGGCTGGCCATGGTGGAAGCTCTTCACCACTGTTAGACCTCTGATAGAGGTGCAGCTCACCGAGGAGCAGATTCGTGGAAAGGATGTGAGTTTCTTTGGTTTGGGTTATTCACTCATACCTGCTGTACCGTCCCGAGAACTGCAGTAAAAACTGAATCAATTGGTACATCAAAATGCTACAAAAGGAATAGCTCCTCCTGTTTTCTTTAAAATGTGTTATTGTGACTGTTTTACTGCAAGTATCCAAACATTTTGATCGTTTTTCTGTAAATCAGCAGTACGTCTACATATAATGCTGAAACACAGGTCAGCGTAACAGGTTAGGTGCTAACACCCATCCAGAACATTTGTTAGTTCTCCCCTGAAACTGTGTGTGTGTGTGTGTGTGTGTGTGTGTGTGTGTGTGTGTGTGTGTGTGTGTTTCTTCCAGGAGGAGATTCAGCAGCTGAAACAGAAGCTGGAGAAGATGGAGAAGGAGAGGAACGAGCTGAGGCTGAACAGTGACCGACTAGAGAGCAGGGTAAACACACAACTAAAGGCTTTCAGTTACTTAGCTGCTTTTTTATTGGGTGTATATAAACTTCTGGTATACACTGCATAGTAGCAAACCACCATGTCGGAGCATATGTGTGAGCCTTGGTCTGTGTCCTCAGATGACAGAGCTGTCCACAGAGCTTACTGATGAGCGGAACACGGCCGAGTCGGCCTCCCAGCTGCTGGAGGCAGAGACCTCCGAGAGGCTCCGCTTGGAGAAGGACATGAAGGACCTGCAGGTACAACCATCCGCTGCTTCACTCATGGACATTTGTGTTGTCATGGTAACAACTCATCCACTCGCTTCAATAAGGCTAAGTTTGACAGCATGAAGAAACAGACGGAGTCCATGGAGATGGAGGTGATGGAGGCTCGGCTCATCAGAGCTTCTGAACTCAACGGAGAAATGGATGACGACGACTCAGGTCAGACACAAGAAATGTAGTGGCATGTTGCCCTGGTCCATCACATGATTCTTCCATTTGGAATAAACTTCCACTTTGTGACCTTATGCTAATTTACATGTCTGTATGGGTGGTGACAGGGCGGACCAGCAGCTGAGCTCTGTCACCATGTCATGACAGTATGTTGTGAGACAGGTAATCTGTCTCATACTTACCAAACTTCAGATGGTCAGTACGTTTCTTACCATCTGAAGAAACGTACTGCTGCTAACCAAAGGAGGGTCTTAATGCTGTTAATCACCTCATGTACTCGCTGCTAAATTCAAGTAATATGTAAAAAAATATTTTCTGTAAAAATGACACACTGCAGCTTTAAACAAATAAAATTAATATTAGTTTAACTTCCACAATAGACTTTACATTTTAGTCTCTGAGTAAGCAAACAAATATTGTGTTTGACACAGAACATGGTGTAGCATATGAAGCGGCCTCTGATTTTGTTTCTGAAGCAGGAGGAGAGTGGAGGTTAAAGTATGAGCGAGCCATCAGGGAGATCGAGTTCACCAAGAAAAGACTGCAGCAGGAGTTTGATGACAAGCTGGAGGTTGAACAACAGAACAAGCGTCAGCTGGAGAGAAGGGTGAGTAGACACGACTGCTCCAATACACACCAAGTTACTGATGGGCTGACAGTAGAGTCTAAATATGGAAGATCTTATGCTCTATATTGCTGTTAGTGGGACTATGACTTATCAGACTGTCTGTTAAACTTGCCTTACATTCAGGTATAAAAACCAGGAAGTGGGAATGGGCTTTGGTTGAATATCTCTTTCCTTCATGTTTTCCTCTTTGTTTTGGTGCTTTCTTCTCATGTGTATGTTTCTCTGTGGTGACATCATTACAGAATGAAGGCTGACAGCCAGAAGATTAGCTTTTTTTTTTTTTTTTTTTTTTTAGAGTTGATTACATTGTTCTTATTTTCATTGTTTAGTAAATCTTTTCTGGTTTCCTAAGTTCCTAAGTTACTACCTCATAGCAAGAGCCGAGGCAGAATATCAGGACCAACCAGGTCAGAGTCTGCAAGTCTTTCAGCTGTTTAGGATTAAGCGTAAATACAGTTACTAAAATCAGTGGAAATCAATACAAAATGATGACATTGGTGTAATAAAAACACCAATCTTGTGTGTTTTGCAGATCAGTGACCTGCAGGCTGATAACGAAGAGTCTCAGCGAAACATTCAGCAGTTAAAGAAAAAGAATCAGCGGCTGGTAGCTGAGCTGCAGGACACCAAGCTTCACCTGGAGGGCCAGCAGAGCCGCAACCACGACCTGGAGAAGAAGCAGAGGAAGTCCGTCCTCACACACCAACTTTGACACTCCATCGTTCATAGACATGCATTAGCAGATTGCTAGCCAGTGAGCCAGGAAGGCTGCTCCACATGATTAGTAGCATCTTTCTGTTCCTAATGGTAGAACTCTGGCTTTCTTGTTGACTTGTGTCACTAAGCTTTCCACAGAGATAATATGTACAATGTGTTTTAGCCCCTCTAAGTTTAAACTTGCTGCTGTCAGCTGTAGTGTCTGTGGTCTGTTCTCGTCACCAAGAGGTTGCTTGTCTATAGGTTTGATGGTGAGCTGAGTGCAGCTCAGGACGAAGTGCAGAGGGAGAGGAGCCTGAGGGAGAAGCTGGCCCGGGAGAAGGACATGCAGAGTGGGGAGGCCTTCAGCCTCAGACAGCAGCTGGAGGTGTGTGTCCCTGTGCTTTCAGAGGGATGTCAAACTATTGTTTATATATTTAGGATGAACTTTTGCCAAACACCAAAGCTTTATGTTAACACAATATTTGATCAGGTTTTCCCTGGTCTTTTTTCTTTCACCACTAAATAACTTTTTGTGACAGAAATGGTGCTAATATCAATCCTAATCTGTCCAGACTTCAGCAGAAAACTTTGACTTTACTATCAAAGTTTTTCTTTAACTGAACTATTTCACCAGGGTTGTTCATCATATCAATCACCATTTCAGTATCAGTATGTAAAATATCAGTCACAGGAAGCTTTAGTACCGGTAAATGTAGCACTAGCAGGGAGCAAGCTTTTCCATTTAGTTGAGTTGGTAATAAGCGCCTGCAGAAGCTTGCAACCGTATATTGTTACTTCTACAACAGGCAGGCTTACAATTACATGTGTTTTTTGTAAATGGTCTGACTTCCTCGCTTTGCTTAAGCTTCCCGTGTTACATTAACAGTTCACTTCCTCTTTCTCTTTCACTCAATGTGCGGTGTGGTCTGACTGCTTCGTGTGTTTTGTAGGACAAGGACCTTGAATTGCGTACAGTGAATTTGAAGCTGGATCAGGTGGAAGCAGAGCTGCAGGATCTTAACTCCCAGGAATCAAAGGATGAAGCATCTCTTGCTAAGGTTTTTGGAAACAGACTAAGTCAAATTGCTCAGTCTTTGTTCAAGTAGTTCCCCTGCAATCAGCTATGACCATCCCTGTTATTTAGCTGAAGAAGCAGCTTCGCGACATGGAAGCCAAGATCAAGGACCAGGAGGAGGAGCTGGATGAGCAAGCTGGCACCATCCAGATGCTGGAGCAGGTACAGATGTTGACAAGTTGATATCAGACAGCATATGTAACAGTCGCTATCTCAGTCATTATTCAGAAGTAACCTTATCTGATGACATATGGCAACTTTTTGACTCTTATAAAAAACTGGGTTTTTTAATCTTTGTATTGGGATGCAATGATAGGAGTCTGGGAGTACATGTGCCAGGGTCCTTCCTCTAGGAGTGGTCAGGCTGTCCTTGATGTGTGTGTGTGTGTATGTATGATGATTGATCTATGTTTCAGGCCAAGCTGCGACTGGAGATGGAGATGGAACGTTTGCGTCAAACACATTTTAAGGAGATCGAAAGCAAGGATGATGAGGTGGAAGAGATCAGGCAGTCATGCAGTAAGAAGGTCAGGAGGATTAATGTTTCACCTTAACTGCACCACCTCATGCCTGACAGTAGGGGCACTGTTGAAGAGAGAATCAGTTGAGCCATTTTTATACTACCTGACCCAGAGGGCTCATTTTCAAACTGAAAACCACATAACAGGAATTTTACAAAGGCTGCGAAGTAAGAATTAGAGGTTCCTTTCTGGCTTCGTTTGACCTCTGTTTCCAAAGACCATTGGGGTAATACTAATCTAAATGCAGCATATCCACATAACAGCGCTAACAATAAAATATTCAGGAAAGTCACTATAATTTTATAATAAAGTTATATCACAAGGAGTCAGTTGGGCTGATCTCACTAGAGAGCACTTTTCATTAATCATGAGCGCTGTGATGAACACAACCAGGTCCCTACCAACTTCACATCAACCTTTCAAACTAGAAACATAAGATGTACTTCAAGAGAGCATGTTACCATTTATCCTGTCAGACATCTAAACATGAGAGGCTTGCAGGGCCTTCAAGAGAATTTTGAGAGACAGAAATCACCCCATGATGTCATGTCATGCATATAGACACAAGAATGTATCTAATTTTTAAGTGTATTTCATTAGTGTGTTTATATGTGTTTGTGTAGTTGAAGCAAATAGAGGTCCAGCTTGAAGAAGAGTATGATGAAAAGCAGAAGGTGCTGAAGGAGAAGAGAGAGCTGGAGGCGAAGCTTCTGTCAGCACAGAGCAAGGTAAGGACACCAGATGGTGATGAGTGTCTGATCACCTTTAAACAAACAGTTCAAACACTGAAGACAATCACCTGCACGTGATTGTGTTCACCCCAGTGATGCTCAGGTGAAGACAGTTTGTCCAGGTTCTTTTAGGTTTCACTTTCTACAGAAAATGTCTTTCTAGATGCACCTTCACTATGATGTCGCATCATAAATTCAAGCATGGTTGTGAATTACTCTAACTTGTACTTGCCTAAATTTATTCTTATGGAAAGACGATGAATGGTTGGGAGTCGCTACATATAAAAAGTAAGAAAAGTAACAAGAAAGCGCAAACTGATCGTTCCTTTTTGCCCAGGTGACAAACTGTGACATAGACACTGAGAAACGCCTGAAGAAGGACCTGAAGAGGACCAAAGCCCTGCTGGCTGATGCCCAGATCATGTTGGACCACATAAAGAACAACGCACCCAGCAAGAGAGAGATTGCTCAGCTGAAAAACCAGGTTCTGACACCCACCTTTAAAAAAAATTTAAAAATAGAAATTACCAGGACTGCTCGTTATCAGAAACGATATTGATCACAAACTTTAAGATACATCTTCAGCCAGCACCTCCTTTTAAAAAGAAATTATCTGGACAAAGCACATGGTCTGTATAAGTGAAGCTTTGGATAAACATCTGCTGAAAAAAGCTAAAACTCAGTTCAATGAGAATTTTGAAGTTGGATTTAATATCAGACACTGAGATTTGTCTTCTTTACAGCTGGAGGAGTCCGAGTTCACCTGTGCTGCTGCAGTCAAAGCTCGAAAATCCATGGAGGTGGAGATAGAAGACCTGCATGTTCAGATGGAGGAGATCTCTAAAGCCAAGCAGATGGTTGGTACAATTCTCTGCAATGTTTCTCATCACTACAGCTTTCATTCTTCTAAAGAAGAAGCTTCTTTTCTACACTCTTCCTTTTATATTGGATTTGTTTTTTGAACCCAGAGTTTATGTTGACATTTCCATTCCAAGTTTCTTTTCTTCATTCTTTCATTTCATTCATTGAAGATGAGGACCAGGATGGAATCCCTCTTCATAGCAATTCTCCCTCTGCCCTTCTCTTGGTAGAGTTGCCAAGGGGAACTCTACCAATTCAGTTTGTTCCAGTTATTGATGTGGTGCCAACTCAGAACAGCTGTCTCCATGCACTTTACAAATAACCAAATAAACAGCCATTTTATATACAAACAAAGCAGGTGCACAAAATTCAGAAGCTAAAGCCCAGTGCACTCAGAGTCCGCTGGACATCTGACCTGGAAGATTGTTTGGTCAAAATGTGGAAAGAACGCGAATGTTTAATTTAAATTTTGTCTAAAGAGTACCACAACAGAAATGACAAAGAAAGAAGCTGTAGTGAAATTGTGACGCAGTCGATGTACCCAGTAACTCTTCTGCTACATCGTTAGTGCTAGGATGAATGAAATGTGCTTTATAGATAATTAGATCTCATAAAACCATAAGTAAAGCTTTATCCTTGTTTGGAGCAGCATGCAATTTAATTGGTTTAAAAAAAAAAAAAAAAAACGTCTGAAAAATTATAAAATTATTCCACAGAGTACATCTGGTTCAGAAGCGCATTCTAACCTTTGGTTGAAGTGGAGCATTTGATTTCATTCAGTAGTAACACAACAGAGGAAAAATACAGAAATTGGTACGCTGGGTTATTCTCTTTGTTGTCTAAATACAGGAGCAAATAGAGAAAAGGATATAGGTACAGAAAACTGATGAGCACTGCAAAAATATTGCGCGACTTCAGGAGCAATGCCAGAAAATTGCTCCTGAAGTCTCAGTAAAGTAAAACGTGATTTCACTCGAGATAATATGTATAAAAAAATGTTGAAAAAATAAAAACATCCGTTTTCAAAATGTACAAAATGCTTTCAAAAAATAAATATTAATTGAAATCCATCCTTTAATTGAAATCCATCTGGATTTGTAATATGTAATAATAATATGTAATATGTTAACCTTTCGCTGTTAGTTGGGGGAAAAAAGGATAACTGTCATCTGATTTTTCGAAAAACGAATATGAAGGAATTGCTTTCTTCTAATTTAAGCTACTCTGATGTTTCAGTCATTGAGTTTTCTGAAACAAGATGCAGTATATACATATATTCTACAACATCAACACAGCAAAAAATTATAAGTTCATGGAAACGGTTAATTAAACGAGAAAACCGAAAAAAAAATTATAATTAAAAACAGTATTTGTTATGAGGAAGAAAAAAAAACTTCCATATTGAGATGCAACAAATACAGTTCTTGCTCGCGATATCTCCAGTTCTTGATCCTAAGCTTTGTCTTTTTTGGGTTAAAATAAGTTCACAAACTAAAGTTACCGCTTCCACATCGTTCTCCATGTTTGTTTACTCTAAATGAAGGTGTGCAGAATTTTAAGGGATTTCATATCTGGACTTGGAATGTCCTTAAGTGAAAACTCACACTTTACGATCGAACCTGTCAAACCTACAATTTTAAATCAGCTAGCATGTGGTCTCTCACGTTTTGAGAATCGGCCAACATTTCTAAAATTGTATCGTGTGAACTGAGCTTAAGCTATAAAACGTTCCATGTGTTATGAAATAAAAATGACCGAACACTGTTAAGGTGAAAATCATTGACAGGTTTGTTACAAAATCAGACCCTGATAAAACTGTGCCAGACAGAGCCAACACATTAGTGTCACACCAAGCGCAGAAGATCATAAACACTGGAGGGTAGGACAATCTAGCAGAGTGGTCATCATGTGGTCATTGTGTGACCACATGATGGTCACACATGTGGTCACACAATGTGGTCACAAGCTTCAGCTTGTGGAAACCTCCTGTAAATACTAAGACATCTCAAACACTCAAACGTGTTATTACTCAGACTGGAATTATTTTAAAAATTCCTCAGAGATCTCAAACAGTATCTGCTTTTCAGTTGTAAACATGTGACGTTTTTATCACATGTTTACAACACGTGTTAATGTCTTGTTATGTGACATTAACATCTCATTCAGTTTGGTCAAAGAGCTAAAATATCACATTATATTTATTTTTTATGTACATATGATCAAAATTCTGGAAGCACAAGAGTATTTTTCCCATTTTTTGATCTGTGGAAAAAAGATGCTGTTTTAACTCATGCTGGTCAGTTTGGTCAGTTTGCTGCTTTTGTCTTATCAGCTGGAAGAACAGCAGAGCCGTCTTCAGAGAGAGAAGAATGACCTGCAGTCCAGGATGGAGGAGGATCAGGAGGACCTCAACGAGCTGATGAAGAAACACAAGGCTGCTGTGTCCCAGGTGCTCCTTGTCAGGAGAAGTAGTCGGATAATGACTTCTAGGCAGAAAGAACCTAAAGATAAAAAAAAATATCGAGTTATAGTGTCTTTTTCCAGTGCTAATGAAAAAAAGAAACTTTTAATTGGCTCCTCTAAATGTTTAACCAGGTCTGCTTGTTTGATACCCTTCATGTTGAAGCAGATTTCAGTGCCAACTACAGTTTAAAATGTCTGATTTGTATTTAAACGGTATTTAAATTGTATCTAAACGGCAACAGAGTGTAATTTGATTATACTTTGTAATTAACAGTGATCTGATAAGGATTGTTCAGTTTTATTGAAACAAAAAGCATCAAATATTTAAATATCAATTCACTTCATTTGCTGACTGTTGTGATCTGTCCTCTGCGTTGTGTTTCAGTTGGCTCAGAACTTGGCTCAAATGAATGACTTGCAGTCTCAGCTGGAGGAGGCCCTCAAGGAGAAACAGGAGGTTCAGGAAAAGGTTAGTTTTGGGATGGGTAAGCATCTGTCTGAAACCTCTTCACTGAGGATTTCCATAAGCTGCATCTGAACTGTATATACAGTTACTGTATGATGACTTACGTTTGCTGTGATTCACCCAACTTAGTATTATTGTTGAGCAGCCAAAGCCATCCACAGAGTGACATTGAGGGAAACCAATGTTACTTTGATGATGGTGGTTAGGGTAGTCTATATACCGAGAAAACAATAACACCTCATAGTACAAATGTTATCCAGATTCCAAGGTGTGCTCATCAATCACATACTGAAAATTACTAATGCATGAATATATTAGCTATTTGTTCTTATTCCTGTTCATTACGGTGTTAATTATACAATTTATTTTAGTTAGAATAGGGACAATATACACTATATGTTAACTGTAAGAGGAGAGATGCACTGAATCAGGTTATAGCCTGAAGTTCTGATTGGGGCCTGCTATAGAAATGTATGGCAGGTACCGCTGCGTGCCCCCTAACAATAGGCTATATATATCAAAACCTGCAGCTCAATCCCGTGAGGGGAGATATTACTTTTGTTGGCATTTTGAGTAACTGTGGCAACATAATTAACAACAAATGAGCCAAATTCAAGTCAAAACAAAAGACTAACTGACACAAAACAGTGTCAGTTTCACTCAAAACAGACAGAATTTTGTCTCCCTCTGAGCTGCTCTTTAGAACCACAGTGATGGCAAAATGTCAAAATACAAACATGGTGGAACAACTGATAGAAACTCATTGCATCTCTGAATAGCGCTGCTTGTTATATCTTACATGCATATCATATAGTGGTGGCAAAAGCAACAAAAAATCTAGTGTGCTCTGGACTTAAGATGGCGTAAATGCACACATATTCATAACATACTTTGATTAAATTCATAAATTTCAGTACCAAAAAGTTTGCTTACCAGGCGAGTCTCTCTAACCTGAGAATGTGAATCTGAACTGGGTTGATTCTGTGTCTTCAAATCATTTTAACAATTCATAACTTATAACTTCTAAGTCTGAAACAGGAAGAGGTTTGAAAAAACAGTCTGTGTGCTACATTTTATGCATCAAAGAGTGATGTCATCACTGCTGATGTCATTGTTAACATTGACATCAGCAATGAACATTCTAATGATGCATTAACATCAAACACGTTTTGAGCGTCAGGCGATTCTGGTTTATATTCAAAGTCTATGTGGAGTGTTGGATGCGCTCGATGTGTCAAACATTCCAACAGCCCAGGGAATTAATGAATCAATTCCTTAATTTATTATCTTTGTATTATTATTATTATCCATTCGTCCATCCATCCATTTTCTACCATTTATCCGGGGTCGGGTCGCGGGGGTTGCAGCTTAAGAAGGGAGGCCCAGACTTCCCTCTCCCCAGCCACTTGTTTCAACTCTTCCGGGGGAATCCCAAGGCGTTCCCAGGCCAGCCTGGAGACATAGTCCCTCCCTTGGTCTTCTCCAGGGCGTCCTCCAGGTGGGACGTGCCTGAAACACTTCACCAGGGAGGCGACCAGGAGGCATCTTCAATGCCCCGCAGAGCTTAACTTTTTTGGCTCAGCTCTCTCTTCACCACGATGGACCGGTACAGCGTCCACTTCACGGCAGACGCTGCGCTAATCCGCCTGTCGATGTCCTGCTCCCTTCTCCCCTCATTCATGAACAAGATCCCGAGACACTTGAACTCCTCCACTTGGGGCAGGACATGTCCCTGGAGCTGGAGAAGGCACTCTTACCTTTTCCGGCTCATGACTAAGGCCTTGGACCTGGAGAAGGCACGACACGCCCCTGGACCTGGAGAAGGCACGATACGCCCCTGGACCTGGAGAAGGCATGATACGCCTCTGGACCTGGAGAAGGCACGTTACGCCCCTGGACCTGGAGAAGGCACGATACGCCCCTGGACCTGGAGAAGGCACGATATGCCCCTGTACCTGGAGAAGGCACGATACGCCCCTGGACCTGAGAAGGCACGACACGGCCCTGGACCTGAGAAGGCACGATACGCCCCTGGACCTGGAGAAGGCACGATACGCCCCTGGACCTGAGAAGGCACGACACGGCCCTGGACCTGAGAAGGCACGATACGCCCCTGGACCTGAGAAGGCACGACACGGCCCTGGACCTGAGAAGGCACGATACGCCCCTGGACCTGAGGAGGCACGACACGGCCCTGGACCTGAGAAGGCACGATACGCCCCTGGACCTGAGGAGCACGACACGGCCATGGACCTGAGAAGGCACGATACGCCCCTGGACATGAGAAGGCACGACACGGCCCTGGACCTGAGAAGGCACGATACACTCCTAGGCCTCAGACTTGGAGCCTCAGACGGATCCTCACCCTGGCCGCTTCACACCTGGCTTCAAACTGCTCCAGGGAAATGGGAGAGCTGCAGGGAGCTCTCCAGGGAGCTGCAGATCACGTCCATCAGGATTAATCAGTTTCTCAAGTTGTTTGAGTTCTACTTTAACGTTTAGACTCTGCAACATCGGAGCAGTTAAAGACAGACTTACAGTAAATCAGCATCCTCCAGTTTTAACACCTTTTCAACTAATCTGTCCCCAACAGTTGAACTACTGAGTTATCAGTTAGTTGAACCAATGCTGTAACAGTTTAGTTTGAGAACTCAAACTGTGACTCATATGACCCCACAATCTGTCTTGGATCCAAGGGGAGCAAACAACTCCAAAACCCAAACAGAGAAGCAGTCAATGTAGTTTAACAAGGGAGTCACTTTAAAACCGTCCTCTTGTCTCCATAAAATTCAGGGTTCAATAATTGTCCTTCAATAAAAGTCATCAGTTAGAAGCCACAGGTTGGTCTCTGCTTACGATGCCGTTTCCGTGGTCGACAGTCCAGAGGAAAAACAACAAACCCAAAACAATCTAAACATGCAAATCACGACAAGAAGTGGAAGTAACAAAGAAAAGCACAATCACATTTTCCTCTGTACATCTTGGCTCTGAGACATCCATCCTTTGTTTTCAACTGATTGTCCAGTTCTGAGCAACTGTGTGAGCTTTTCTCTGTCACATCGGAGCAGTTAAAGACGGACTTGCAGTTAATCAGCAGCCACCAGTTTTAGAGCCTCTTTAGCAAATCTGTTCCCAACAGCTGAACCACTGAGTTATCAGTTGGTTTGAACTAATGCTGTAACAGTTCAGCTCTCAAACCGAACTGCTGTAGCATTATTATCAAGCCTGTAACAACCACCACAAGAAACAACGTGACATATCCCGTAACTTCTGCCGTACACAGCTTTTTCCAGCAGACTGTTCTCAAAGCCTTTAAAGGCCTTCTTCATTTGTTCCTGCAGCAGCTCGATCATCTTGGTGCTGACGTGTTCATCCTTTGTTTTCAGCAGGTTCTTTAGCTGCGAGCTGCTGTGTGTCTTCTTCTGCTTGACGAGAACTTTGCTGCACATGCTGCTCCGTTCTTTGACGTTGTCGCAAATTTCTTTGGCATTGTGAGACCTTCTGCCATCCTGTCGATCATCTTGTGGATGAGGGCAGTTTCCTCTTAGCCGAGCTGCTCCAAAGCTTTCAAAGCCCCTCAGTCGATCAGCAGCCTGAGCTCCAGGTTTGCTGCCAACAGCTTCAGCTTTTTCCCTTCCAGTACCTTCTCCATCGGGTCAGGAACATCGGAACAATTAAAAAATATTCATTTTATGTTCATCTTCTCGCTACAAGTCTGCACGACACGATTCCAGTGTGAGAACTCTTTGAACTTGTGTTTGCTTGTGAGGAGTCACTGAAGGAGACAGCGACTCAAAACCTATCAAAGCCTTTGTGACGCCGTCATTCAGTGACATCATGTCAGTGACATCATGTCAGTGACATCATAGGGCATAAAACGCCTTGTCAAGTCTCCCGTTTTTTGGCCGGGAGATTATTAGTAGTATTTCTTTGAACATGAGTTATGTGTTTGTTTGTTGTTGCTTTTGACCAATAAGATACACAGAATTTCTGATTGTGAGATGATAAAAAGTTTCATTATCTCAGGTTTGGGCCCTTTTATCATAAATAAGGTATTATCTATTTCTCTTACTTGTTAGCCATGTTTAGTATATGAATGGAGTAAGTCAATTATACACACCATGCTAGTGGTGGTCCACATGCTGCAGTATTCACGCTAAAATAAACATATTTGTCAAATTAGCATAAAATTACTAACATGGTTCAAGTCCATGTTACTCATTTTTTTTGCTAAGCTTAGCATTGATGCTAATTTTTAGAATGTGTGACTGTCCAAACCGACAGTCACACTTTGGCAGGACCCGGTTAAATTTCTTCAGGAATTTTCTAGTTTAAGTTAATAATACTCTCTGGTCTAACAGCACTGACCTGGGTCTGCTCTGAATCAGATGCAGGTCCTCCAGAGCCAGCTGGAGTTCCAGGAGCAGTCCATGGTGGAGAAATCTCTGGCCAATCGTCAGGAGAGCCAAGATCCGAGAACTGGAGACCAAGATGGAGTTTGAGAAGTCGCAGGTCAAACGGTTGGAGGTGAGGAGCCAAAGTGGGACATGAGTAGTCATCAATATGTATGTGCACAGCTAACGACAGAGGTCTGTTTATGTAGTGTAGTGGTCTTACTGACCTCCTGATCTTTTTTTTTTTATCATCAGATGAATTATTGTGGACAATAATCCAAAGTTTATTGCCCACAATAATTCTGAATTACTCTCAAGTACTTCAGTTGTTGTTGGTTTGGACAAAAGGCAGGTGTGGATTGAGCAGCGTGGGTGATTGAAGGCGCTAAGACCCGCCTCCTGAGTCTGACTGGTTGCTTCAAGTTAGCACTGAGAGAAGAGCGCAAACTGAACTTTTTTCCACATATTGTCTCATAACATGCTGTCATGACATAGTGACAGTTTCAACAAACATATTAAAAAAAACTTTTTATTAAAGTTATGCACTGAAGTTTTTAATGATCAATGCAGTAGCACCTCGCCAAAGAAGAATGGACTAGAATCCTTCATGAATGAGTCAACAGTGCTCTCTTTCCTAAAACTTCACACAGTGACTTTAAAAGCCAAGAGGCCAGAAGGATGAACAGATTACTCCTTACCTCTGTCTAAAACCTGAAAATTATCTTTATAAAGGAACAATGAGCTCATTTATTTCATTATTTTGATTTCTGTAAACTTCCAGACATGTGGTAAACTAGGATGGTGTATATTTTGCAACTTTTTGTCTTGCTGTACAGAATCTTGTAGCTCGTCTGAAGGAGAATGTGGAGAAGGTGACAGAAGAGCGAGACCAGCGCATCAGCAGCGAGAATCGTGAGAAGGAGCAAAATAAGCGGCTGCAGAGACAGATCCGAGACATTAAAGAGGAAATGGGGGAGCTGGCCAAAAAAGAAGCAGAGGCAAGCCACAAGAAACACGAGCTGGTAAGGAGGAAGAGCTTTCAGTCATCAGCGTTACTCCTGTCTTACAGACTGGACTCTAGTTTGGAGCGCTACTTAGCACCCACCAGCTAACATCACCATGTGTCCGTCTCCCTTGTTAACAGGAGATGGACATTGAGAGCCTAGAGGCGTCAAACCAGAGCCTGCAGGCAGACCTTAAGCTGGCCTTCAAAAGGATAGGTGACCTGCAGGCGGCCATTGAGGACGAGATGGAGAGTGATGACAACGAAGACCTTATAAACAGGTACAGAACCTATGAACTGTGTTGTGCCAACTCTGTATCAGTTTAGCCAGGTTAACATGAACGGATTCTTGCTCATTACTTATATATTTTTTATAAATATTTTAATAGTTTTTAAATATGTAAAAATTATATTTTTATGAAAGTGATCTACTGCAGCGATCGATCACTAAATTGGTTGATAATTATTTCAGTAGTAAATTCATCATTATTTATTCAATTAATTATTTTGCCCTTAATAATAGAAAAATAATACTTCCTCTTAGGCACAAGGTGAGCGAATCTTCATTCGTGTTAATAGATCTATCTGTAATATCCCTTTAGTTGTTTATCTGCAGGATGGTCAGAGCTCAGAGCAGGAAGCTACAGCTTCTCTCTGTGTGTTTGCTCTGTCACTCGTCCATTAACGTCAAAAAATATTAATAGACGATCAGTCAGTTTGACCTGATAGGCTGCGGGGTTGGGCTGAGCCTTCAGCTGATGTCCTGTTGTAGAAAGTGAAGCCAAAGGCAGTGCAGCTGTCATCCCAGCATCAGACACTCACCCAAATTTTTTATTTACTCTCATTTCTGCAATTTGCTTCTCATAATTTTATGTCCTTCTGTTGTCTTTCATGTTTTTTCTTTCCATGTCTTTTCTTCCTTGCATCATAACCATCATCATCACTGTGACCAGTTTGCAGGATATGGTGGCAAAGTACCAGAAAAGAAGGAACCGAATGTGAGGATCATGGTCTTGTGTTGCTTCTTTCTTTGCTGGAAGTAATGATGCATATATCACATGACGGATCAAACCTTAGCTTTTATTTTCTCCATAATTTAGTTCATAAAACATCAGTTTTTCTCATGGAGTAAACAGTGACGTTTACTGTGTCATAAATGCATCATCAACACATTCAACCCACCTGTGCTTTTTCATTGCATGCCTTCACATCCAGCTGAATCACCATCACTACTATTAACCGCACTATGAAACAATTTCTCCTTTTAGCAGCAATAAACATCTGACTTGATTTTGTTTTTTCACTGATGCTTCAGCCAATGTGCAGCACATCAAGGTGCCCCAGACACCATAAATCACCTGTTGTCTGTTTGCTCTGCTTTTAGCTAAATACGTCTCATTTCTGCCTGACTGAAGGACGCTTTCTGTTGTTGGAAGAGTTTCCTCAGTGTGAGCAGCTCTCCTTTCAGCCATGGACCTCACCTGGTTGTGGCTGATGTGTAATCAGTCATCGCTGGTTACATGTGGGCATTTTGCCACATTGTTATCTGAATGACTGCATATCATTTTGTGGACCATTCAGATTGTACTATAGAAAAGACATATCACCTATTTGGGTTTCTCATGTTTTAGTGAGAAAAAAAACAATTAGACTGCAGGTTGTGGTCTGCCTGAACAGACAGCAGTTAGTGCCTGTTCTGCTCCCACAGATTTCATCCCAGATCTCAACTAATGAGATCTGGGAGCAGAAGACATTAATCAGACTTTGTGTCATTAATTACATATTAAGAAAACACAATCAAAATGAACTGATGGGTGTTCCCAAAGGTTCAGGCAACAGTGAAATCTTCACCTGTGGGTTTCCCTGCTTAATGTCTTTGCTTTACAAAGCATATATAGGGCCTTTTCTGTTTAAAGTTTGTATTGGTTACATTTGTTATTGTAGAAAAATGATGTATAACACTGATAGTGTGATTGATTGTTGAAAAGTTAACAACACAATGCAAGCGATGATCGCCCCCTGCTGGCCCCGGAAGAGTGAATGCTGCAACTCAATGATTCAATGCAATCTGCTGGGTTTCCTCAGATAAAAACTTTTTAAATTGCTTTCAGTAATTTACTGAGCTTACTGTACTGTCTGATAACTAAGAACAATAGGATGCAATAGAATGGAAATTAATATTTTCATTCAAATTTCAAAATATTGAATGGAAATTTAATATTTTGAGATGACATTTGTTGTGAATTGGCGCTATAGCTTAGTTCTCCCAAAGCAGAGTAGATTTAATGTTGAAGACCAGAACTAGAATTTTTGCATATTTTTGTTGTATTTTATTCTTTACGACAATTTACAACTACCTACATATCTAAATGAATCTTCTCAAACAACCACAGGGATTATTGAATTGAAAATTGCAGTATGAAGCTTCTTGACCTTTTCTGATTGACCTTTCTCAGTTTATATAATGAGGCTTTTGGACACAAATATGTGATGTCTTCTTTAGTGTTTTTGCTATTGCTTTTATAAAGATAAGGCCTGAAATAATTTAGCTATCCTGTAGATTTAGATTAAAAAAAAAAAATAATTTCTTTAACCAACAATTCTCTTGACAGGAACTGAGATGGGTCCTTATAAAAGAATGATCCTTTTAGAAAGAAAATAATGCATCTGTTTTTATTTACATTTTATTTTTAAAAAATTGCTAAATTCTTCATGCTTTTCTGAGTAACTCACAGAGAAATCATTTTTGGCATCATGAACCTTCGTAAGTACGACTAAGTGATACAAAGAGTTCCTGAATCTCCTAATCCACAGCCTGCCATGTAGCTCCATGCAGCTCCGTCTGTCTGCGTCTAGATGTTTTCTGTCTGTCCGTCTTTTGTCCAGATGTAATGCTAAGGTCCTCGTCTGCCTCTGCACTAAAACCCTTAACCTGTTCTTCCTCTACCGTAATGACAGAAGACGTCTTCCTGGGCTCGCTCCCATTGAACCCTAACATTGTTCTTCCTTTCTGAATGTCAGAAGACGTGTCTGTATTTAACTACCATTTCCATGGCTGCCTCTAACTCTCTCCTCTTCTGCCTCTAACTTCTCTTCCTTTCCCTAACTGGTGAGCAGTCAGGGACACTCAGACACAGACTCTGAAGTGGAGGACCGTGTGGATGGAGTGAAGTCCTGGTTGTCCAAAAATGATAGCACTATCAAGAACCTGTCAGATGAGGACAGGTCAGTGAAAATGTGTCAGTTATCTCTGCAGAAGATGCTTGTGTTATACAGTGGAAGCAACATAAACTGATAGCTAACCTATTGCTAACCATAGGTATTTTTTGCTTATATTCACTTCTTGTTTGCTTGTAGAACAGAAAAATAATACATTTGTATATTTTACAATTTATACTTGTATCTTTAAAACTTAAATGAGGCAACATTTCCCCTGAAATGACATTTCCATGGTTGAATCATTGTGATTTAAGGTTTGATTTGAATTATTTAAAATATAACTACTTAACTTTTGATAAAGCGTGGTGACACCTGCAATGCAGTAGCATTATTCCTATAATGAGAAAGAGGGACATTTTCCAGCTAGCAGCAGAGCCAAGAAGAATCCAAAAACTTATTGAGTGTCAGTGTGGAGGGACGTAACATGAATTTATGTGATTTACATTACGATATTTCACATTTATTTGTTGTAATTATTGTGGAAAACAACCAGTTGTAGCAAAAGTCCCACCCTATACATGGCAGTGCAGCATGCTGAGTCCTGCTTGACTTCCTGTTGAAGCCTGGAAGTGAAGCAGAAATGAGCCAAACATAAAGTGGGCTTTGCACACTTAGTGCCAAGTTCACTCAGTGATTGGTTGAAGCTAAACTTGAGAACGTAAAGGTTGAATTTCTCTGTAATCCATTTGATGCGAATATAAAACCATCCAGTCACAGCCATAGGTTCCCTCAGCTTCTGCCTGATGGAAATGATCAGAACATTCCACAGGAGTTATCTCACTGATTCTGTCCATTAGAAATCCTGGGGTCATAGTTTACGACCTTCACATGTCCTCCTAGTGTCCTATAACACTGAAAGGTCTCTGTCTCCTTCATTTCCTCCCTGTTTATTTTCCAGCATTTCTTATACACTTTCCTTGAATATGATCTCATATTACTTTTATATTTAGTCCATTTTCTTCAAAATTTGCTTGATTCAACTTTGTATTTCATCTTTGTCGTGAGCTTTCCTGTGTTCTCCTTCGTTCACTTTTTTCACACAGAAGCCTGTCATTCTCTGTTGTTCTAGATGTGCTGTAAAAACCGACTTAAAGGGAGGAAAAGAGTGGAAAGAGGCTAAGGAGAAACATAAAGGGCAGAGAGAACTACAGACAATCAGGCCGGTGCCTGTTGTGGCCTCTCTGAGTTATAGAATGAAACCTGACCTGGATTTCATCGTAGACAAAAGTCCCTCCTTCCTCTGGTCTACTAAGAAGAAAGCAGAGTCAGGCGACGTCCAAAGCAGATGCAAAACTGAGCTGTTAAACCAGAAATGTCATGTTGGCCCTTATTTAGCCTCTTCCAGGAAACCTCCTCTTTCACTGGATAGCCAGTCAGCCATCTCTCAGGCTGGCTCAGAGGCTAACGGATCATCCTCCACCCATCCTGAGATAAACCTGAGGAATAAGGTTCATCCTGGCAGCAGCTTGGGGCTGACAGGCCTATACACACACCGCCAAAGCATCTCTGGTACAGACGGGGCCAGCAGCAGCAGGTGTCCTCCCAATAGGAGATCAAGAAGTCAAAGTCCTGGAATTGTTGGCCAACTTGATTCCCAGGTATTCCTAGTTGGTAGCAGTCACCTCGGTGACGGTGGCATTGACCTAGATGACAGTAGAAGTGTGGTCTTAACTGAGCAGTCCATGTTCGGTCCTCTGTCTTCCATTGGTCGCAGTTTATCAGTGCCTCCACCCAGAGACAGGCCCACTTCTGCTGATCTGCCATTTGATACCCTGGACATTCGGCCGGTCAGCCGTCAGAACTATCTTGACCCTGACTTGGAGAAAGCCATCAATGAAGTGCTGAGTTATAAACCGATAAAATTCAAGCGCAGGAGCTTGGAAGACTCTGAAGATGAAAGAACCAAGAGTAATGAATATGAGAGCCAAAAGATGGAGAACAGAGAGAGGATGTGTCCCACCAGAGGTGTTAGATGTTCTGAATCTGCTGTGGATTGCAGGAGATCATCCTCCCATACCGGCAGCCGCCACCATGTCAGCAAGAGCAAAAGAAAGGGCAAGAAAAAGAGAAGTCACAGCTCTGAGTCCGACAGTTCTGGAGATGATCCTGTTGAAGGGAGCGACTCTAAAAGACGGGTCAAAAAGTCCCAAAAAAAGTCCAAGAAAAAAGAGAAACGTCCATCATCGTCAGTATCTCCTGAATCAGATTCGGAGTCAAACTTTACATCAACTTCTGATGCGTCTACCATTTCCTACTGGAGTTGCAGTAGAGTGAAAACAGCCGTGGGTAGATCGGTTCCCAGTCCAGATGAGGAGGAGACTCTGCCACTGAACAAGAAGCAGCCGAGCAGTAAGAAGAATGAGAAACAAAGGAAGAAGAAGGTGAACCGTCTGATGATGAAGTACTTGTACCGGACAGAGAGTGACTGAGGCAGACAGTAGGTTGCTGGCCTGAAGGATGCTGTGAAGCATGGTGTGACCTAACCAATCACAATGACTAACATTATCAGCTGTTCACTCAGCCTGGATGAGACGGCCGGTTTGTTTCAGTTAACCCCGGGTGGAAAGCTTTGTGCTGTTGTTGAGTAGTTCCATATCTGTCCTAAAAAACGAGAAGCACCAGAAGCTGTTTCATATTCCGCCCAGCTCACTGCATGTTGAACATTTTAAATCAGTTTCTTCAAAGCGCTTTGTGTTTATCTCTCTCTACCAGTTTTCTCTGTACATTATCTCTGGTACACAGAGCTGAGGGTTTTCAGTTGATCACTTCATGTTTAACAGCTGTTCCCGACAACTTCTATAAAATACTTCCCTTTATTTCAAGTTTCTATATTTCATTTCTGATGCCAGAAGAATCTCATACAGCCTTTTATGAGGGAATTCCTTGATACTCTGAGATGTTTCTCTTCACCACTGAACCAGGACTAAAGGGATGCAGACAGCAGGCAGTGATTATTCTGCCTCTTCTGCTGACAAGCTGAAGTAGCAGCAAAAACACCAGATATTCTCTAACCCAGTGGTTCTCAAGCCGGGTCAGTCTCTGTGGTGTTTCTAGCTAGAACTGGAATCTCAAATGAAGAAAGTTACAATAGAGCTGAGCTGATCCAGCCTCACTGCCGAAACAAAATAAAAATAAATAAACAATAAATCCATCAAAATGACAGACAGTGATGTTGATGGTGGGCTGCACTACGCAGCGGTTGGTAGAAGGTCCTGGGTTCAAATCCCAGCCTTTGGTCTTCCTGCATGGAGTATGCATGTTCTCCTTGTTCATGTGTGGGTTCTCTCTGGGTGCTCTGGCTTCCCCCCTACAGTCCAAACACACGACTGGCCTGTGTGTGTGTCTACAGTCTGGAGCAGACCCTGCTTCTCGCCCACTGACTGCTGGAGACCGGCAGCAGACACAGGAACAGAGTGTGGAGTACAGAATGGATCACAGTGGAACAAGACAGAACAAAGTCTGAGATCACGTTTGGTCAAACTAAACTTTATTTAAAAAACTGGTAGAGTATCACGCTAACTGCACAGACTGCGCTTCTGTTTTCTTTTCACTTTTGTGAAAATGAAGCACTCTGGTTGTTTGCGATCTTTTCCCTGTCGGCGTGTTTGTTAACAGACTGTCTCCTCTGTGTGCTGCTGCAGCTCCCCCATCCGAAGACGCTCCAACTATGACAGGTCTGATGAGGAAGAGGAAGAAGTGAAAGAGGGCGGTCCGGGGACAACCAGCTCGTCCCGCTCCAGATACAGATTCAGCAGTCATTTGAAAGATGACGAAGATGATGATGATGAGGAGGAGGTGTCATAGTGCAGTCAGTCTGATGTAACACTTTGCTTTGCATGCAGAATTGCCTACAGTGTTGGACAATCAGTAATGCAGTGGTCTGCTCCACCAGACATGTGGAGTCAGAGGAGCGGATGCAGCAGTGAAAGCTGGTGGCTGCTTGACCTGCAGGCTCTGCCACACACAAGCTCTTCATCCACAGTTCACACCTTCAACACCAAAATCCTACAGGTTTCCATGTATTGCCAAAAAGCATTAGCTAGCAGCACATGTGTATACTCTGTAAACATTTAACAATGAATGCTTCGACCTAAGAAAAGCTCCAGCATCCATTCCTTCTTTGTTTGAACAAGTGCCGTTTTAAGAAGCAGAAGCTTCCTGAGCTGCTGCACTGTAAATCCATGACCCTCATTATCATGTTTATTGTAGCCTCATAAAGTCTGCTCTTTATTTTCCTGCAGTGTGCTCCCTACCCTGTACTCCTCCCAAAGAGAGAAGACTTCATCACTCTGATGCTTCAAGGATCTTTTGTTTTCCTCCTGAAAACTTTAACAGTTTGAAGTTAACTTGAATTTCCAAAGTAAATACCAGATTAAAACACAGCGGCTTTGTTGTTGCTTTTGCTATTTACTCACTGTTTTAACTTTGATGTAGTTTCCTTCTTCATGGAATCCAGCTAATATTGCACCATTTTATTTTTTTATATTATTGTTTCCCCAGAATTAGTCGACACGCATGCATTAGCATGCTGAAAATGCCTTTTTTAAGAAAATGTTTTATTTTTCCAGGGGCCTATTTTTGTTTTGGTCTTTTTTTTTGTTTGTTTCTTTTGTTTTGTTGCTAATGGACAATAATACAACCCAGGTGTGAAAGCAAAATGTTGAGTTTTTTTGTTTAGCCTTTTTTTAAACAAAGTATTGATGAGGTTTAGTCTGGATGGGCCACCATGAAACTCTATTATCTGCAGCAGCAACAGGGCTCACCATGTCTGGTTCTCCTCTGGTGCTTCTTCACATGAACACACACATTTATCATTTACTCAGTAAAGTGAACTAATTTAGGAATTAGATCAACATTAAAAAATCCCAGTAAGAACAAGTTTTAGGTTCCAGTATGTTTGAATGAGCTGAACGGCCCTTTGAGTTTAGTGCATCATTCCCAACTAGGAACCAGAAAAGGTTCTTAAAACACAGACAGCCTCATTCCTGGAAGCACTGATCTGCACAAACACAGAACATCCTGGTTACCACTACTTCATCACATGACCAGTTCCAGGTGGTACTTCCTGATTCTGACATCGTTTGAACTTCACATTTCTGCTGTGTGAGTGCGTGTGCTTGTGCGTGTGTGTTTGTGCGTGCGTGCGTGCGTGTGTGCGTGGGTGTGTGTGTGTGTGAGAGTTTGAATGACACATTACCGCATCTGCTTTACTGCTTTCATAGTGATGTATTTAAAACTGCCTATAAACCACTTAATTTAAGAAAAAAAAAAAAACTTATTGATGTCAGGAACATGGCTGAGTCAGCGTTGTATATTGAAATGGTGTAAATGTGTAATAAGGAAACGGCATGTACATTTTTGAAAGGATTAATCAGACACTGGAAAATATTTGGTGTACAGAGCCGGAGTATCCCAGCTGGTCCTAGCTGGTCCTAGCTGGTCCTAGCTGGTCCTAGCTGGTCCTAGCTGGTCCTAGCTGGTCCTAGCTGGTCCCAGCTGGTCCTAGCTGGTCCTAGCTGGTCCTAGCTGGTCCTAGCTGGTCCTAGCTGGTCCTAGCTGGTCCTAGCTGGTCCCAGCTGGTCCCAGTTGGTCCCAGCTGGTGGTGGGAGGCGGAGGCAGAGCGGCCCGGTCGCTCTCCCTCTGACCCGCTGCTCCCACTCCAGGCAGCATGTTCGGATCTTTTATTGGTTCTGGCGTCGACGATCCACACGTCTCCATCGTTCCTAACTAACCCACAGCCTGTGGAACCAAAATCACATGTAAGCCGTTTGGTGGAGTTGTTTACTGTGTCACATTTGGCTCATTTTAATTTGAGCAACAGGAAAATCTGTTCTGAAACCAGAACATGTGTTCAGTTACTTGACGTGTGGTGATGAGTTTGAGTGAGTCATTTTGGGTCCAGTCAAAGGCGACTGACTGCATGTGTCTGTCTGAGAGCTTTGGGTGGAATTTGACAATGTGTGATTTTTGGATGCTTTTTTAAATATATCTGATATCGACACAAAAGTCGACGTATTTTTACTTACATGCACCTCTTCTTCTTCTTTTTTTTTTTTTGGCTAACCCCTTATTCACTGTATTTATATACAAAACATGTATGATTCATTTTAGCTTTGTAAAACTCGTTTCTTTTCTTCACTGAAAAACTGACCACTTGTTAATTTTATCTTTGCAATATTGTAAATAAATTCTAGTTATTGACTTGAAGCTCCTTTGACGTTGGCTTTTCCTGACTCAGCGAGTTACTGCTGTCTGCTTACTAAGGAGTTTTCCTCATTGATGTTTTCACACATAAAAATAATGAATGGAAACTCAGACAGAAAGTCTTCTGGGAGTTGAGGAAAGTTCCAGCAGCTCATTACCGAGAGGAAGCTCTGAGAACGGCTGGTAGGTCATATAAAAACAGTAAAATAAGAAAATGTTTCTATTGATGCACAGATACAATAACTGAGCATTTACATCTACAGTTACTCTTGGAAGAAGTTTCATTCAGATACAATTTTATTGCCATATATAAAGTCAGACTAAAAATGGCAAGGTCTGAATGTCAGAAAGTTTAAAGTGAAGATAAAAACAACTTCATTTGTAAAATTATGACTCTCAAGGTGTTTTTGCTTTGTAATAAGATCCCCTTCAGGTAGTCACTAAGATTTAAACTTTATCTAGATGGTGAGATCACTAAGCAAAGTAAACCAGAATTTTATGTCATGTAAACGGCTCGTTGTTAAACACATGTAAAACTGATGACATCATGTAAACTTTGCAGATTATAGCAATGATCTGAAAGAATGAAAGAGTTGGAGGAAGGATTCATGAATCCAGTCCTGATCCTACAAAGCTGATCTCATCTTTGACTAGAAACGGCTGATTTTGAAAGGTGAAAGGTCAAAGGAAGGCTCTTCTCCCAGGCTGAGCTCACACAGGAGCTTTCCAATGACTGGGCCGAACTTGAAGCCATGACCTAAAGGAGAGGAATCATAGAAGTAAAACATAAATAAATAAAATCCATGTCACGACCAAGACAACAGCTAAAGGCCGAGGCTGACAGGAGACGGCTGAGCCTCCACATGCTCAATGTTTTGGGAGATTCTCAGCATGAATCACATAGAGCTTCTCACATTTCATACAATAAACATTTTCTGAAAAGGCCTAAATAAAAAGAAATTGAGAGAGACTATTTTTCTGTAATTCAAAAGAAATGTATAAGTCTGCTGACTAAAAAAATGCCCCCAAAAATATTTGCAGTATGAACCTGCACAACAGCATGAGGAGCAGCAGTCCTGTGGCCAACACAGCAGGATAGAAACGTTAAAAAGAAAAGGTTCATCCTGGCTCAGACCTTAGGTCAGGTTCTCAACAGTAGGAGAGGTTGCAGTAACTGTCATGGCATCCTGGATTTCAATATATGACTCCTGAGTTGGCTTTGATGTTTTTGGAGACATACCTGAGAATCCTGCTCCAATGACGATGTTGCTGTAGTTTGGATGGTGATCCAACACAAAGTGGCGATCAGGAGTCAGCTACACAAACACAACAAGCAAAATAGAACGAGTCAGATATAAAATGTTTTATGATACATAAAGGCAATCTGAATTATGCACATTTCATGTTGTTTTTTTTCTGCAGTTTCACTTTTTCTGCCTACTTTATTAAACCTCTGCAGCCATTTTTAAAGCCCTTTAAAAAAAAAAAAGAAATCAAAATTCTGCCTCTGGAAGAACAAACAACACTCCCTTAAACCAAAGGCCTGGTGAACTAACAATGCCTTTAGTTCGCCACAAGAAGGCGTGGATGACATGAAACCGAGAACAAAATGACCTGAATTTCATCCCAATGGAGCAAGAAGGAGAACAGATTTTAAAAGTTCAGCCTGACCTGCAGAGATCTTACGCCTGAGTATAAATAACAACCCAAACACACCCAGAACATGACACGTCAAGGCAGAAATGCTTCTGGGGGTTTCTGCAGCCACAGAGAGCCCCCTCCTCCACCCTTACTGTATACATGCAGCTCTCCACCACAGCAGGCTCAGGAACCAGGCCGGGTATGCATCTGGAAACGTATCGCTTCAGGATCTCGATGTCAGACGTGTCCGTCTGCAGGTCTCTGTAATCCGGGTCAGTCTTGCTGCCCATGTGGTAGCAAATCTGCACACACAGTAGGAATACACCAGCCAACAATTATTTGGCTGTTTTGGACAGTTTTATTTGGCACTAAAGCAGTCCTTTGCAGTCTGAATGTTGCACACACTGATATTGCGATGATGATATTTTGTGCTGCCTCACTTTCAACCGTTGAGGAAAAGCTACATGTTTATTACACGCTCACTCACCTTCATCAAGTCTGGATACTCATTCGACGGGAGGCCATAGATGTCTTCTTTAGCCTCCAAACTCCCAGTGACCACAAAGCATGGAAAACGCTGCTTCACACTGTAACTCCCAGGAGTCTTTTCTTTCCAGTAGCACACATTAATCTTAGCAGCCTGTTGTGCAAAGACACAACAACATAACTCAGTCTAACATGCATGCTTCAGATACGGGGTTACTAACCAGTTTGCTGGATGATAAATTGTCCCTTTGATAAATTGTCACTTTGTTGGAGTTTAAAGACTAAGTTTTGTCTAAAGTGATGCTCATTGTACAATTAAGGCAGGAAATATGTAGCCAGAAATAAGCAACAACAAAATCAACATTCAGCTCAGACCCTGTATTCTAACTTTATGATATTGATATTTAATTATATTGCATTTTGTTGAACTACTTGATCAACTAATATAATCAAGTTGATCCTGTGACGTGTCATACTCTACATGCCGTCATCTCAACACTGTCACATGACACCATGTATGAATACCTCCAGTGGTAACTGGATACCAGTGTGAGCCAGGAGCTTATTGGTCCAGGGTCCAGCAGTGATCACAACATTTCTCGCTTGATAGGCTCCTCCTGAGGTCGTCACCTTGACAACCGGACCAGGCTTGATTTCCATAACCTTCTCATTATCTCGTATGACTCCACCCAACTTCTGAAACTGACCCTGGAGAAACAGACCAAACGTGTTCCAAGAATGTTTCAAATCAAAGAAACACATAAAAACTGTTTATATCAGGACATTATTTCTAAACATCATGTCATTAAGTAGTTATTGTGCAGACGGCTTTGTTCTTTTGTTTTTTTTAAACAAAGTAAGTCAGGTTGACACAAACAGCTTTAATATCATGTCTGGATATCTTACAGCATAAACACATATGGTTACAGTTTATGCTACATGAAGTGAATGTTTCCAACATGTAGCTATACCTTTAAACAAAGTTAAATGGATATAAGTGAGATGCCTGCGTTGCAGTGAAGCTGAGCCGTACCTGAACCGCCTTCAGGGCCCGGTCTGCAAACAGAACGCCGCCGGTTTCATCCACCAGGGCCCCGTGGCCCTCAGACAGAACCACGTTGGGGATGTGCTGGTGGAAGTTATCACGGCTCAGAATCACCGTGGGAACCTTGTTCTTCAACAAGGTTCTCTTGACCAGCGGGTAATCTCCACTGGTTTCTGGTCCCATGACTAGCAGTCCAGTTTGTCTGTGAGGAGAGAGGAAGGCGGCAGGGTGAACGGACTGCTGGGCTCACCGAGTCTAAACACACTTTATTCTTGTACTGGTAGAGAATAAGGTAATGTAAAAATGTAAGGTCACTACTAATATTATAAGCATCACATCCAAAAGTGCATAATGTGTATTAATACAGGTGCAGTATATAGATACGTTTGAAAAAAATATATATTTTGTGGAAAAAGTCAAACATTATTTGTCATTTTGCTGGATCTTCCTGTGCAAAAACACCACTGTTTGGTTAGTTAGTTTCTCTAATTTGCCCTTGTGTGTAACCACTATGTACATACTTTTAGAAATGACTGACGAAAGATATTGAACTTTTCCCACAATATTCCATCACTTTAAATGTAATATTTACAGTTTCTTGGATCTCAATCTGGCCAAGCCTTCACGTTGCGTTCCAACACTTTTCCACTCTTCATCTCAGCTGTTGGCTGACCTGTACAGCGTCACTCCGGCCTCCTTCTCCAGCTGGGCCCACATCTCATAGCCCTCCTCCATCATCTGGGTGTAAATGTCCTGCTCATAGGCTCTGCGTATGATGCGCGTCTGGCCGTGGGAGCTGCCTCGGGTGTGAGGCAGAATGAACTGGAGGAAAACGGTTCAGATGAAGGAAACAGAAAACATGAAGTCAAATAATCAGGTCCTCCTGTACAGAAAAACTGCAGCTGTGATCGACTCAAGTACAGAAAATGATTTGCTTAGTGTAAAAAAACAATAATAATAAGATTGTGATTTTCTTTGAGGCTTGTCTGTTTAACCCTCTGAGGTTTGGGATCTAAATGGCCGTTTTTGACTAACTTTGAATTTACCCTTTTATTTTAAAAACTATTAAAACTTAAAAACTATTTACCCTGCCTTGTTTGGTATCATTATTTTCAGCACAACCTCAACTTTATGATTATACAGTGTTTGGTTCATTTTGACAAAATGTATTATCACAGTGGACCAAAAAAAATAAAAAAATCACAAATACTGAATACAGAATTTTATATTTTATCAGCTGAATCAAAACCTTCAGCTTCCATGTTGGACCCAATCAAATAATGTTTCCATTGATCATTATTTCAGAAATAATTCATCTGTCCTCAGTAAATGGTTTTCAGGAAGCTGTAGCTGAACTTCATAGTTAAAGGTTTTACCTTTGAAACATTTTCTTGATCAAGACAACTTAACAAATTTAATCTTCCTGTCCTACTGAAAGGAGTTACTAATCAAGAACATCTATACAGTAATGACCTGTTTAAAAGTTTCAGTCAGCTGTCAGAGCTCATCATAACGCTGCTAAACATCGTTGGCTCGGTTGCTGGTCTGGTGTCGGTACTGGACCTGTTGGACCTCAGAGCTGATTTGAACACATCCGTCACAATGTCTTCTTAGGACAGTTTGGACATGCGGGCATCAAGAGAACAGTAGGCTGGTTGAAACCAGAATGCAGGTTTTTTTCATGTTTATGATCAAACTTCTTCACATCAAGTCTATTTGAATCCTTCATTCAGACACTTGAATGACTGTGGCTACAAGCTACAAGCTACAAGCTACTGCATTGTAGCCTCAGCTGCTCTGGGCCAATCAGACAGCAGTAACACTGCTGTGAAATCATTTACATTATTCATTATCAGTTCAGCTTGTTCAGGCCGAGTATTAGCAAAAATAAATTAAAATTAAATACTGTTCAATATTCCATCATTCTTGTTTTTGATATTTATTATTAATAGACTATGAAAAGATTTTTTTTGACCTCGTTTGTCGACGTGACAACACAACCTCTGTTGTAACCGTAGTAGATGATTAAGAAGCCCAGTTTGATCCGGCCTTCACTCGCCCCACTGTCTGCAGACCAAAGTGCACCTGTTGCACTTATGCAACAGCAGACAGAACGCCTCCTTTATGGGTCACTTGCTTACAGTCTTGGCTGCAGGCCTGGATAAAATCATGCAGAAAGACTAAAGAATGTGAATCAGAACAGCCTGATCTACGCAGCTTGACAAAGGACACTGTATGTACAGTTCATCATGCTTCCAGTTCAGACACGTTGTTGCCATTCTTAAAGGAAAGTTAAAACTTTGTCCTGCAATCGGTGGGTTCCTGGTTCGATCCTCGCTCCGTCCAACGTTGTTGTGTCCTTGATCAAGACGCTTCACCCACCTTCCCTGCTGGTGCCGGTCAGAGGGCCCAGTGGAGCCACAGCCTTGCTTCTGTCTAATTAATCAATTGCAGTTCATTTTAATATCACTAATTGTTTAGACCCCACCCTTCACTTTTATATTTCTTTTCCTTAAATGACGACTCTCACCGGTGTGACCTCAGATTTTCAAAGTTTATCTTGAAACAATATTGTTTTTGAACTTCAGTCAGCCTTTAGATGTTACATAGTGTAAATGGAAGTTTTCTTCTCTCCTGGTCATAATGTCCCTTTAACACCCAGCTAATCACTGCTCTGGGTTTATCAAGTTCATCTCCTCACTCCTCCTCTTTCCATACGTGAATCTCCTCTCCTCCTTGTCAAAGTTACCTGAATTTATTTTTCTTCTACTGCAAATACTTCATCGTTTTGTTCTAACAGTAATCGAGCTTATTATTTTTTTATTTTACATTCCATTTTTATGTTGATGTAAGTTTGTTTCTGAACATTGTGCTTCCTTAGCTTCTCTGCTAGGTCCTCTCTACAGATAGCAGAGAGGATCTATTGTCTACAATTTGTACATTTCAACAACTGTCTTGACCAATGAGTAGTTTCAAGGTAACTTCATCTTATTCAGCTGTTTTGAGCGAACAGTCATGGTATTTAAACCAGATCAGGGTTTGCTTTTTTAATCTTTCTGCTTATTTATTACCTTTCAGGAGGTTTTCTGCAGTTTATGAGCAGAAAAAGTACTTTTGCAGAAAAGGCTCACATACACTGCACATGGTCACAATTACAAACAGGCTGTATGTGTGTGTGTGTGTGTGTGTGGGGTGTGTGTATGTGTGTGTGTGTGTGTGCGTGTGTGTGTATGTTTGGGGTCTGGGTGGAAGGGGGGGGGTGTTCGTGTGTGTGTGTGTGTGTGTGTCTGTGACACACCTCACCTGCTCCAGCAGCAGAGTCTTCTTGTTTTGTTTAGCCAGCTGGTAGGCTGTGAAGGAGCCCTGGACTCCCGCCCCGATCACCACACAGTCATAGTGCTGCATCGTGGACATGCTGCCGGACTCTTCATGGACACTGTAGTCATATTCAACTCTCAGTCTTTTATAGCTCAGCCCCTTATTCCTCCGCCCACAATCAGTGGAGGCGGACCCAAGATCCTGGAGAACCCAGTAGGGTCAGGGATATGTCAGCAGACTGGAGTTCTTGATCTGCTCATTGGAGATCTGCTGGAGTTACCAGCTGCAGCTGGAGGTCATTGCAGTTTACAGTTTCTGGCCTGCTGACCCTCTGCATGACCATCTGCACGCTGAGTTTACAGCTGCAGCGCACATGGACGCTCTGATGTCTGGTCTTGTCGTCGGTTGGTGACAATTTAGCTGCTTCTCCTCCGTATCAGTTTCTGCCAAGGCAGCTGGTTGGTTGGGCAGAGTGTGACCCTCTGACCTAGCGTGACCCTCTGACCTGCTGTGAAGGGGAGCAGAGCAGCTTGTTCCAACATCTGTAGTGTGTTTTTATTTTTATTTATTTATTTTACTTTTTGTGTTCGTTTTTTTTTTTTTTTTTTTGCATTATTTATGAACATGTTTTCCTTGTTTTTTAATTGATTACTAATTTGCTTTGGTTGTTGCATTGCATGCTTTTTTTTTTTTTTTTACCTGACATAATTGTCTTCCTCACGTTCCCCTTTTTTCCTCAGGAACCTAACAGCATGCCTGAAGCTTTGATTTTTAATAGATCATGTTTGAAGGAATTGTTCAGATATAATATTGTGTATTGTCTCTCCCCTGCCTTTGCCCCGTTAGCCTTAGCTGAGGTCTCTGCCTCTCATATCCACTGCTCACCACGCTGCTTCATTTGTAGTCCTTCTTGTATAATGAATGGCTTTCTGTGACCAACCCATCAGCCACCTGACAGGAACATGCCAGTAACTGCTCCTGTTCAGTGCTTGTCTTTTTCTTCTCACCCCAAAAGCTAGTTTGGGAAATATCAGATTCTTTGTTTGTATTCTTTCAGCATTCCAGTATTTCAGTTTGCTTGATAGTTTTCTTTTCACTGCTGCTGAAAAACCTGGAAAAAAAACCTCTCCTGCTGCAAATTCAAACCAAGCTGAAAATCTTTGCAAGGGGAGACAGAAAAGCATTAAATGTAGAAGCAAACAGCTACACGCCAACATCTCCCTAGAAGATTTGAATGCATATGAAATGGTTGATTCACTGAACGCTCCGGTTCCATCTGGCCTTCATCATCTAACCTCACAGCTGATCAAAGGGCAGTTGTTAGACTCATATCACACCAGACAGGCAGCTTCAGTCAATGGTCACTTGTTTGTAGTATCTCTTGTAGATCCCAAAAATAACCTCAGAGATCACTGGACACTGGAATATTTCTGTCCTGTCTACATCATTTAATATCTTTGATGTTTATTATACAAACGGGTTGTTAATAAATCTTTTCACCAACAGCAATACTCAACATAACCCCATGTTGCATAAAATGTAAGTGTTTATATGTAGACACTGGAAAGCCAGATAGTGGTCAGGGCCAAAAAGGAGAAAAAACAAACTTTTCAACCACTGCCTTTACACATGGCAGATGCGCCAATAAACCGGAGGTCACTATTCACTTAATTCTTCAACTTCAAATTTTACATCAAGAGCAAAACAATTATTAACTTAACGTGTAGATATTTTTTATCTCATACAAGCATTTAGTCAGGAGTCTGTGGGTTTCTCTCTTCTCAGTTCTTAAAGTTTTCCACTAGATGGCGCCACGCAGCTGCAGCCAGACCTGAAGCTGCACAGCTGCTGATCAACCTGTTTGATTCAGTGGTTCAGTGATCAGGAAGGATAAAGAACTCTCATGTAAAATATTTCATAAAATCTATCCTACTAAGGTATATATTCATTCTATGTTCAAGAAAGAATTGAATGTAAATTGTGTGTTTTGTGATTCATAGCCTCAAAATGTTCTCCACTTGTTTTGGTGTTGTCCTTTTGTTAATGCGTCTCGGCAGAATCTCTGAATTTATCCACAACAACGTAGAAACACAATTTATGCTTTTATGAGAAGACGTCATACTTGGCCTCAATGGAAAAAACATGCTGAACAATTCGGACTTTCTCATAAATTCTTTGCTGGTACCAGCTAAAGATCATATTCATTGTTCCAGGTATTTGAAAGGAATCCAAGCTATGCTGCATTTTACAATGAAGGGAAGTTTTCTATCCGGATTATCAAAGACTGAGGAAAAAATAGCTATTAAAACAACTGAATGAACTGTTATGAACTGAAGCCCCTTGGCTGTTTCTTTTTCTTGACTGTTATATATCTGTAATGTTTTTTTCTTGACTACTTTTTCTTAACTTTTACCTTTATTTTTGGTATGCTAGAATTTGCAGCACTTAAAACATGTTCTGACTTGTACATTCTTCTATGTTGTCTCCTAATGTTATAATGTGACTGGTTTTCTCAAGTAATTTGACATTTTTGCCAGCTGCTCCTGAACTAGAGATAATCTCAGAAGTGTATTTGTGTTAAGAAGAAAAAGAACTAGACTGTTTCATAATGATGCAAAGTTCTTTTTTAAAATGAAACTAAAGCTTGCACTTAATTTGAAAATCAAGATCCCAGAGTTTCTCAGAATCCACATCTCTTGATTACCAGGATGAAGTTTCCACAGACAGCGATGGATCGGGATGCCATGTCATCAACAAGCCAAAAGAGCCCCAACCAAGAACCAAGTACACAAAAATGTACATAACAGAAGCCTGACATTTATGTTAGCAACATTATTTTTATTTATCTGACATTATGTTTTTGGGGGGTTTCATTATCATAAAAAATGACGTGAAATAAAGGCTGAAACAGAAACAATGATGTTTCATAATTTTATTAGATGCATGTCTAAGTGTGTTGCCACCTATCAACATCAAATCAGTAAAATGTAGCAACATTCTTAGCATTAAGTATGTTTACTTGAAAAATAATACCATTTTAGTGGGCGCTTGTAATATTTTCTATGCTTAAATACAAATTAAATGGATTATTTGTCTTGTACAGCTGTGGAAATGATTACATTTCTGTTCTAAATGAATAAAAAAAGTAATGATCCAGTTTAAAACTATACAAAGTGATACCTTTACACACAGAAACCCAAGATCTGTAACTCCTAGAATCCGGTTCACGGTGGATGCCTGAAGTACGAGGTGACTTAAAAAAACGATGTTTAAATACTAATACCGCCACTTAACTTATCTAAAAACAACAACTTTAACAGAACAGCGCCAACAAATTACGTCTTCTCAAAAGGAAAGTACTGAAAACACGAGAAGTCTCGTGAACGCAGAGCCACCGCCTGCAACTGCACGCGATACGTATCCTTGAAAACTAGCTGTAGCCTTTTATGGCGCATGCGCGGCCGGCAGTTCGCGGTTGCGCCAACTGGAAGAGGATGTTGCTAGCAGCCAGTGTAGATGCACAGCCTTTTCACAACAATAACATTCACTAAAATTTGCATCTCCACATCCACGAACGGAGGATTCCGCTTTGAAAGCACACCCATATTCGCTCTTTGGATCACAGCCTTAGCACGTCCACATATTTCTAGTTCTGTCTTCTTTTGACAATGGGACTGGATGGGTTTGCAGCTTTACTGGACTGTTTTTTGGCAGAAGCAGAAACAAGAATCTTGGCTTGCCAGCTAGGCCGCAGATGGATTTTGTCGCCATGAGCAAGAGTCGACTGGCGATAAAATATTGGATGTATTCTCTATGTGTTTATATTGTCGCCGCCGCTACGGAGCCGACGCGTTTATAGCACAATTATTTTCCATTTTCGTAGTTTTTGTTAAAGGCAACAACAGAAGCTAGCAAGCCCGCTAGCTTCTCAACCTTGACTGGCTGCCGTCTTGTGTTAGTAGTTAGCTCCGTTGGCTAGCTAGCGATCGCTTGGCCACCAAAGCAGTTGGATTCAAACTTTTTATTGAGGATTTACGTTAAGCGTCTGGTACCACACTGGTACCGGTACCACAGATTTCGCTTGCGAGATCTGCCTCTGGATGAATGTGGGACAAAATGGAGACCCCGACGATTGTGTACGATCTGGATACCTCTGGAGGCTTGATGGAGGTGAGGTTGCTAAGCTAGAAGGCCTCAGTAGAGTTACTTCAATGCATACGCTCGGGTTTCCCCTCTGTAACTCTGCTCTTTTTTTCCTAACAATTGAAACTCGGCAATTCTGTTGTCAAGCGTCATGATCTCCCAGTAAAGTCAGCGCTCTGGTTTGGGAATGGAGGCCAGAAGTTGTGTGGTTGTGGCGCTTCATGAACCGTGTCTGAGGGCGCTCAGCTGCATGCCTTCCCCCCGTTGTGTGCGCAGCAGCCGCGGCTTTCATTAACAACAACTTGTCCTGTTTTTTTGTTTTGTTTTTTTGCAGCAAATCCAAACTCTGTTGGCGCCTCCGAAGTCCGAGGATGTGGAGAAGAGGAGTCGGAAGCTTGTAAGAGACGTTCGGAGGAGCGGCAGGGCCACCAACCACGACACCTGCGACAGCTGCCGGGAGGGGGGAGACCTGCTGTGCTGCGACCACTGTCCGGCTGCGTTCCACTTACAGTGCTGGTAAGAGCCAAGCGAGGGAAGAAGCCACAGCAGTGAGTTCTGGCCCAACGGAGGTCAGCCGGACCGGAAGGTGATGTTAGCCTCACCTCTGGTTTTTGATAGGGGTTTAAAATAAACTACGCAATTTTTTCTCTGTGACCACATTGACAGTTTTTTTTTTTGGTCAAGGCTTTGTTTCTGGCATAGAGCTGATGAATAGAACAGGTCCAGAGTTTCTACTCATGTATCTTCTTTCTTGTAGCTTACTGCTATCTTTTCCTCTTGTTCAGGACTGCGTGTCTCATGCAGGGCTGCGTGTCTCACAACAAGCACAACTTGTTGAATATAACTGTTTAATAGGCATTCAGTGATGACAGCAGAACACTGCAGGTTCTTCTCCCGTCCGACAGGGGGTGGAATTGTCTCCCTCGCTGCTAGCAGTGTAGGCAATGTTGCTAAAAATGGTGT